GACATCTGCCGCAGTCCAACCCACTGGTCCCCTGCCTGCCCCGAGCGCCACGCTCCTGACGCTCGTGCCAGGCAAGAGGCTTCTTACCGGGCTCGGCACGCGCGGCGAGCCAAGATCCCCGGGCAGATTGTGAAGGTGATCGAGTATTCTCGCCTCCCGGCCCTTGGCTCTATCGTCCGTGGCCTGTTGTCTGCCTCTCGCCCTTCTGTGTCTACGGCTCCCTCGTCTGCCCCGTGGATCTACGACACTGGCGCCGGTGCACACATGACGGGTGATGTCTCCTGGGTGGAAGGTGTTCGTTCTCCTGCAAGTCCCATGGTGGTCCAGGCTGTGAATCAGGCGTGTCTTCCTGTGTCTGGTGTGGGGCGGGTCTCATTCCTCAACCACCTTGGTACTCCGGTCGTTGTCGACGATGTTCTGGTGGTCCCTGGGCTTGGGTACAACCTCTTGTCCGCCAACCCGTTCAACGCGCTGGGCTATCGCCAGACCCTCGAGGGTGGTACCGGAGTGATTGGTCCTTCCTCCAACCCAGAGCTTTTGCGTGTCCAACTTGTTGCAAACTCTTGGGTCCTTGAGGTCACTCGCTCGCCCACTCCTGCTCTTTCCGCCGTAATTGCGCCTACTGTTCCTTCTGGTCGACGCCCCGCTGCTGTCCCGCTTGCCGTCTGGCACCGTCGTCTTGGCCATCTTGCCATGGATGCTGTCAAAAGCACCCTCTCTCGTCTGAGTGTCGGTGCGAGCTTGTCTCCCGGCCCGGATCCTGGTCTTTGTGAAGGGTGCGTCATGGGGAAGAGCTCTGTCTCCCCCTTTCCTTCCAGCCAGTCCCGCGCTGACACTCCCCTTGCTCTTGTGCACACAGACATATGCGAGATGGGAGTGGCTAGTGTCGCCGGAGAGAAATACTTGCTGGTGCTGGTGGACGATTGTACTCGGTGGACTTGGGGTTATGCGTTGAAGAAGAAGAGTGATGCACTGGCCTGCTTTCAAGAATGGCTTCCGCTCGTTGAACGTCAACACGCTCATCGCGTCCGGGTGATTAGGTCCGACAATGGTGGGGAGTTTGTCAGTGGTGCGTTCGATGGGTTCCTGTCTGGGTTGGGTGTCCGCCATGAGACTACTGTTCCCTATTCGTCACAACAGAACGGGGTCGCTGAACGTGCGAATCGCACGATTGTTGAGCGTGGTGTCTCCCTTCTGTCGGCTGCCCATCTTCCTACGACCTTGTGGCCCGCCATCATGTCCACTGTCATCTATCTCAAAAATCGGTCGCCCTCGCGCAGCATCTCTACCACTCCCTTTCAAATGCTCTTCGGTACCCCTCCCAACCTCTCGCATCTTCGTGTCATTGGGTGTGTCGGTTGGGTTCATGTTCACAAGAAGAAACGTCTTCACAAGCTTGCTCCTCGGGCCTATCGCTGTGTGCTTCTCGGTTACAGCACTACTCAGAAGGCTTATCGCCTGTGGGATCCGGCAAAGAAGGAAGTTGTGGTCGCTCGCAGTGTTGTCTTTGACGAGGGTATCATGGGCATGGCCTCTGGCTCGGCTGATGGTCTGCTGGATGCTCTCGCTCCTGCATCCTTCCGTGGTCTTGCCCCTGTGGGAAATGGTGTTGAGGATGCTGCTGTCAGGGGTCACGGTGATGACGCTGTGAGTACTGTGGATGGTTCTGCTGTTGAGGATGATGATGCGTCCTTAGCGCCTATTGTGGATGCCTTCGAGGATGATGATGAGGATAGGAGCGAGGCAGGGGCCAAGGCTGAGGAGTCTGAGAATGATGAGGCTGCCGAGGATGTTGCGGCTGGTGAGGCTGTCAGGGGTCACGGTGATGACGCTGTGAGTACTGTGGATGGTTCTGCTGTTGAGGATGATGATGCCTCTTCAGATGACTTGCCCTATCATCCTGGCTATGTCTACGAGCCCGTGGTCCCTGCTCCTCCCCCATCGCCTCCCACCGTGCCACATTTCCTTCGCTCGGGCAAAAATCGCCCTCCTGCCCTTCTGGCGCCTGGTCTCGCTGCTGGTGTCGATCCTCTTCCGTTCTCCGGCTCCGACGATCCCATGCCCGACCTTGACCTCTTACTCGGTCCCCGTGGAGACCCTCTCCCTTTCCCTTATCCGGACGCTCTTGCCGACTATCTCGGACGCCCGGATGATCCCTCGTTCCATCCGTCTGACGAGCGCCTTCCCGTGGATGGCCACATTGGGATGCCGATCCGTGCCCTGCTTGCTATGGCAGAGCAGGAAGTGGTCGATGAGCCGCGGACATGGCGGGCTGCTATGAAGTCCCCCCACGCTGAAGAATGGAAGGGCGCGTGCGATGAGGAGATGCAGTCGCTGGTGGATGCTGGCGTCTATGAGGAGGTTCCTCGGTCTTCGGTTCCAAGTGCTCGAGTGGTGTCTTGCAAGTGGGTCTTCAAGGTGAAGCGCGGGGCCGATGGTGCTGTGGAACGCTTCAAGGCTCGCCTTGTTGCTCGGGGTTTCCAACAGAAAGAAGGGATTGATTATGACAAGACGTTTGCCCCTGTTGCTAAGTACCAATCCATTCGCGTAATTCTTGCCCTTGCTGCTGAACACAATCTTGAACTTCATCAGATGGACGTCAAGACCGCCTTCCTGTATGGCCCCTTGAAGGAGGAGGTCTACTTGTCTCTCCCTTCTGGTTACGATGGTGGTAAGGATAAGGTGTGGCGCCTTCGTCGGGCTCTGTACGGCCTCAAGCAAGCTCCTCGCGCTTGGTACGAGGAACTTCACGGTACCCTTCTCTCCCTGGGATTCCATCGCACTGCCAGCGATCACTCCATCTATGTTCGCGGTGAGCTGGATGACTACATGGTCATTGGGGTGTATGTGGATGATCTTACCATTGCTGCTAAACGTCCCTCAACCTTAGCTACGTTCAAGGCGGAGATGTCGGCGAAGTATGCCATGAAGGATCTGGGTGAGCTCCACTATATTCTTGGTCTTCAGGTTGCTCGTGATCGCCCTGCTCGCTCATTGCATCTCTGTCAGACCCAGTATATCAACACGATTCTCTCCCGCTTCCCCTTTGATCGCTCTCGTCCTACTGCTAGCCCCCTCCCTGTCCACACGATTCTTCAACCCAGTCTTCCCGACGACGCTCCTGTCGACCGAGATCGCTACCTGCGCGCTCTCGGCTCGGTCATGCACGCTATGCTGGGCTGTCGCCCCGATATTGCCTTTGCTGTCGGCCTTCTCTCCCGGTTTGCCAATGACCCCCGCGAGACTCATTGGGATGCCATGGGTCATCTGTTCCGGTATCTGAGTGGTACTCGTGAAGTTGGGATCACATATGGCGGGGATGAAAAGGGGGTTGGTTCGCTCGTTGGCTATTCAGATGCTGATCATGCTACTAGCGATCTCGAGAAACGCAAGTCTGTCTCTGGCTATGTCTTCAACCTCTGGGGCGGGGCGGTCAGCTGGCAGTCCAAACGTCAACCGAGTGTCGCTCGCAACAGTGGTCAGGCTGAGTATCACGGTCTGTCTATGGGCGGGCAAGAACTTGTCTGGCTCACTCAGTTACTGAAAGAGTTAGCGTTCCCTTGCGACGGCCCCACCACTCTCTACTGCGATAGCGAAACTGCTATTGCGGTTGCCAAGAATCCGGTCTCCCATTCCCGCCTCAAACAAATCGACATCGAGCACCACTGGATTCGTGGCTTGGTGTATGAGGAGAAGCGCATGGTCTTGGGCGACATCCGTACTAAGGATATGCTCGCCGACATGTTGACGAAGCCTGTGGGGCCGACGAGGGTGAAAATGCTAGGGGCGCGGATGGGTCTAGGCGTGCGAGGGGCTGCTGCTGCTTCTGGTACTGTGAGTGTTACCTCTGGCCCCGGCGTTGTAGACGATGATGCTCTCTAGTGGACTGGTTCATGTGACTCCTCTTCCCTTCCCCTCTTCTCTTCTTCTTCCTCCTCTACCTCTGCCGGGCCAGTCTGCTGTCTACAGCCTCTGCCACTGGCGTCCTCTATTGTACAATCCCCGCTTCTTGCGGGGGTTGGGTGGGAAGGAGAGATTTTGCGGGCGGATCTGCGGGATTGTATGGATTGTGTTTAGAGAGACGTGTGGGAAGCTGTGGTCGGGTGGTGGTGTTGTGTTATGTTGGAAGAAAGGATTGCGGAGATGGCCGCCGGACGTTCGCGCTGGAGTGTTACATAGTGGTTTCCATATGTCTTCTTCTTCTTCTTTATCCATGAAACCTTATAACCTTTACAACAAACCATGCGCCAATCCACTCGCGCCACCCGCCCTCGTGACATCTACGAGCCTGAAGGGCCTCCGCCCAGTACTAGGCGTCGCCTCCCGCCTCCCTCTCGCCGTGCTGCCCCGGTGGCTGCCCCTCCACTGCATCTTGAGGAAGCCAATGCTGTTCGCCAATCCACTCGTGCGACTCGCCCTCGTGACTTCTACGAGCCTGAAGGCCCGCCACGTCGACCTCCTCTTCCTCCGCCCTCTCGCCGTACTGTCGCCACTCCCAAGGTGACCCCCCCCATCCTCGGCGGAGAAGAGGACGAAGCGACCGAAGTTGGTCGCGCCCGAAGGTGACTCTGCTTCCTCCTTTGATCCCAACGACGGGGATAACGTCTTGGCGGCCGCCGATGCTTCCAATACAGCTGGTCCGTCTGCCCCCACCCCGCAGGGACCGCTTAGAAGGGGCAAGATGAAGCAAAAGGAGTGAAGATTCTTAGTCTGCATGCATACGTACGACGTCAAGGCACCCAAGTAGGATGACGTTGGCAAGGCGACTGCCTCGAACCAGGCGTTGAGTGCCCAGAACTTAGAGTGTCGGTCTTAGCGTGCTACTCCAGCAGTAGAGGGCAGCTGGTATGGCGAGAAGCAGCGGAAGCGGGGGCGAGGGGAGGTGTCGTTGTCGTCAACATAAATGTTAATGGGTTGCTCACCAGCGGTACACTGCCGCCTCTTGTAGGCGTATGGGAAGAGCAGCAGGCCACCTCATGAGGCAACTCACTTGTCAAAAACAAATTCCGACCACCAGAAGAGGACGTCGAAAAGGAGATGGCCAAATACACCTGAACTGTTGTTAGATGTTCGTTCTTCCGGGGTGGAATGGACAGATGGCGGACAAATCAGCGAATAAGACGTACCCAGGATGAGTTCCTCGCTTCTGATCCTCTTCGCTGGTAAGGAAATCAAGAAGAAGGGGCTCGTCGCCGCCTAGAATCCGGAAATGACATCAGCGAGAGTAGTGAGCACGCGGCGGAGGAAGGGCAGCAGCCGGAAGTACCCTGAGAATATGGCGGTGTAGAAAGGAGCGTTTGAATTCTAGACGACTTCGAGGGACTGTGTCGAGGAAGAGACTGTAAACGAAACGTCAGCAAATGCTCATGTAAAGATCTACGACACCACTGACCACCTGTTTCACTTCCTCTCTAGTATGACAATAACACCCTCCTTGATCTTCGTAATAAACCAGGGACTAGAGTGCAATGCGACTCGGTCATCGTCGTATAGCTTTTGAAACGATACACCGGCGTGGAGTAGGCTTGTAGACGTGGCGGGTTACTCCTATGGTACCAGTCGACTACAGCTAACGGCGTAAGCGATAAGCGGGAACTGCCGTCAATGATAGACTCAAACTCGACGAAGAGAGCGTTCTCGGGATGTTTGAAATAGCCGTAGAAGAGTGCAATGTTGGTCTCGTTGAAAGTTGAATGACTGCGGTCGTCGATGGGAGGCGGAGTGGCGGGGATGATGGATGATGGCTATAAAGAGGTGATCAGCAGCGTTTGCGACGCGATGAGAGGTGTGCTTACCCTTCCTCAAAATGAGTCGGGGTAGGCGAATTGACGAGACTGGACAGTTGGTGGCGGTGATAGTGAAGCCGGGGCTCAGAAGATGCTGGGTACCGCTTGCCATGGAGGATGAGGGCGGAGAGTGGCGGAGGACACAGGGCTCACGAGACACCGATTGTTGCCGACTGTCGGCGGTGTACTAGGTGGCGGGGATATCTACGGGGTTGGGCGACAAAAGGAATATGGAATAGGAAGAGAAGAGAAATGCAAACAATTGATCAAATACACTTACATATAGCAACAGCACAGACCCGACAGCAGAACACCGTGACATCACCCCTGCAGATCCCTACCTCCTCACAAAAGCACCCTCGCTCACTCAGATGGGCTGTCACCCCTCTCTACCAGACAAAAAGCTTCTTTCCTGCCGGCACGCTGATGCCCATCCACATTCCTGATGTATCATTGCCTTCCTGTACGTGTTGAAGAGAGGGATTCAGTGCTGTTTGTTGTCGGCGCGCACTTGAATGCTTCAGCGTGTCGGGCCAGCGTCCGGGTATGCCACTCTCGACTTCGAGGCACATAGGAATACGTATGTTGAGGAACAGGGGCTACAGCGTACCACTCCTGAACCTCCCTATACACGGTTGAGCCGTCCTGCCATGCACACCCCTTCCAGTTATCTGGCGAACTTTGCCAGGTCTCCTAGGATAGGATGGTAACTCGGCATCATACGCAATGACAGGCAAGTCTCTCAAGACTTTAGGCTTGGTCATGGGGCAAGTCAGTGTCCTGGATCCTCGACGTTGACCGAAGTTGCCAGTCTCAGGCCAACTCCCGCACAGTCCACTTCTCTTACACGCTCATCAACATCTGACGCGTCTGTATGTGACAGAAGAAGGCATTTCTTGTTCTTTACAAATATGTCAATGAGCCTCGGACTCTGATGATGCAGCAGACCCCATACATTCTTTGTTTTACAGCAGCAATGCATCCAGACTCGATCAAAACTTGAAGAAATCGGGCACATTTTTTAAAATTACAAAAAACACATACTGGGAGATCTTGCGCGTTAGCCAACGACGACACACTGTTTTGCAAGACTCACCACGACCACCGCTCCACTTACTATTCTCTGAAGGTTCAAGAGGACGTATGGGATCTTGCTGAAAAATTCTATAAAATGGAAACAGAATTTCCCCATCCCATAGACACTCAGGCTCCTCTCGTCTCGTTCGGGCATCTGGCCGGCGCCTCCTCCGACGGTGACCATGGGTATCTCGGTGGCCTCGAGGAAGTTGGAATTCCAAGATCTCACGACCTCGAAAGGCGCAAGAGCTTGGAAAATGCGGGGCTTGAATCCGTAGAAGATGACGGTTGCCAAGAGAGTAAAGCCAATGGCACTCCTGAGATTGGTGTGAGAAGGTGAATCCCTAAGGCGCACTGATACACTCACCACTTGCGTGCCTTGCTTGAGTCTCCCTCCACCGGCGAGAAGATCCAGGAGGCAAGTACCCCCACATTTCCACCAAAGACGATAACCAACATCAGTTCTACCGGGGAGGAGGTGAGCTTAGATACCTCATAAGACTGCGGGCGCTTACAAAGCCTGCCGTCGAACCGCCGCCAGAAATTATCAATGTGGGCGAAAGCCCTCACGACGTCCCGCTTCTTCAAGTCGGAGTGGCGGTATCCCGGATGTGAAGAGGTGTGGAGGTAGATAGAAGGCTCTCAAGGAGGGAGTATCCAAAGAGGGGAGTTGGACAGGAGATGCGAGGATGTTGAGGGGGAAGGTTGAAGGAAAGTCACGGGGGAAGAGTTCTGGCGCGGTGGAGGAAGGGAGGAAGGAAGTCGGGGGCGATCTGATTCATGTTGAGGTGCTTGGGGTAGGTTACCGGCGAGGCGCCTCAGGCATCCGCTAGCCAAAGGGCGTCAGTCTGGTGATAGGTCAAATTTAGCCTTTCACCCACCCAAGCCTTTGCCTAGAAGCACACCTGCCCACAAAATATTGACAATCAGCCAAAGTAAAGACCACCGCTGGGCCGAGAAGAACGGCAGCGGGTTAGCTTTCTTGGCCCAATTTGCCCGCAGCCATTCTAGTTGACAGATGGCAGAACGCCAACTATCACGCCGGTGACCGTAAAGCCCAGGGTCGTCCCGTGGGGCCAGCCTCTTTTCAGAAACGCACGCCATTAGCCTTATCGTGGGGGGGGGGGGGTGAAGATCTTACCCGACAAGGCAGACGACAATGGAGTTGATGAAGACAAATGTGGGAAGGATGGCTAATGGTTGTGTCAGGTCTCGGAAATGGTGAAGAATGTACACCCAGAGAACGTACCCGTGGCCCAGACTGAAAATTCCCGGTGGTCATCGATCTTTCCTTTGGCTAGGCCCCGCGCTTCGTTGTCTTCTTTAGGAGGCGACTGGCGAGAGTCGATGTCCCTGTACTCGATCTCAATCCACTTGTCGTATGCCCTCTGATCCTGGCCGGCGGGGTAGGCGACGGGTTGAGGGGTGAAGTCGACGGGCTGAAAAGCGGGGTTGGCGACTGGCTGAGTGGGAGGGCGGATGGCACAGAAGCCAACACCAGAAAGCGAAGGAGGGTGGGACAGTGGAAGCCTCCGCTTGGGAAGCGAGCAGGGCTTCCATCCTGTCCAACTGGGTCTAGACCTCAGGCGGCACTTGGGCGGGGGCGGGGGCGGGGATTCTGACGTCGATGGCCGGAGGGGCGAGGGACTGTGCTCTGTGGGCGGTGGGAGGAGGGGCAGCGTGGGTGGGGTAGCGTGGGTGGGGGTAGCGTGGGTGGGGGTAGCGTCGGCGGGGGCAGTGTCGGCGGGGGCAGTGTCGGCGGGGGCAGCGCCGAATACCCGTGTACCATATGGCGTCGCGCACCACTTCCGCCGCATGAGGACATACGGCAGCAGGAACAGGCCAAGGAGCCGCCAGCTGAGAAAAGTGTCAGCCACCTTGAGGGAGAAGTCACTCCCACAGCGCAAAGTCCCTCTCACCATGGACTCACCTCTTCATGTCGCCCTTCATCCCAACCCACCAGCCGACCAAAAGCACCAGCAACACCAGGTCCCGCAACCCTGTTTCCTCGAATCAGCTATGCATTCTCTCAAGATAGAAGCAGACAAAACAGTGGCAAAACTTACCCTCAAAGACTTGCCTGCCTTTACCCAATCTTCCCTCTGGGAAGGGATGCTTCAACCAAGCGAACAACTCTTGGCTGCCGGGCCACCAAACGTCCCTTTCGCCACCGTCACTGAGGGGGGCGTCGAAGTCGGGGTTGGCCTCGAGGTCGGGGTTGAGGTTGGGGCAAGGGATCTGTTGTCTTGCGTCAGCCGTGCACGAGTAAAGCCAGACAGAGCACATCATAAGAGTACAGGACGTGACCACGAAGAAGTCTTTGAATCTCGTCATCCTCACAATAGATCCAGCAATGTCACAGAGCGTGCGCGCCCCAAACAAGTCTTGTCAAGATTGGAGCGATCACCGCTCGAACAACAGTCAGAATTCGACGGACAAGCAGCCTGCCCCCTAGCGACCTGCGTGCCAGAGGGATATAGCCAGTACCGACCCCGACAACCCCAGAATCTACAGAACAAGGAATAAGCTGACACGTACCGTGCGGCGGGGGCGCCTTTTTGAGGCCGGGGAGGAGGGGCCGAGGAGGAAGGGGACGCCGGGAGGGAGGGGCGAGGGGGAGCCGAGGGGGGGCTGAGGGTGACGGGGGAGGTATGGAGATTATATAGGGAGGAGAGGTGTGAGAGTCGGGTGATAGATTGTATAAAGGAGGATGAGAAATGGAGATACAAATTGCACGCTGTAATACATCAAAGTGGGGAAGGGCGCAATCACTCGGATTGATCCCGATCTCATTGTTTGGTTCCACCGCCGAGCCTTTGACCGTGTTTAGAGCTCCCAATCGCCGTTCTGCTCTTCTTCGGCAATCCCTTCCCTAAGACAGGTGCTTGTACCCCAACTCCTATCATGTGTAAGCCGCTTACCACTGGCGCCTCATGAAGCCACAGTTGGATGATGCTGGGAACGGTGTCGCGTCAAAGACTATGCATTGTGAATGCCAAATGAGAGAAACATATCCTATATCATGTATTACTATTTGTATCTAGTATAGCGCGACAGAAGAGGGACAAAGGCAGGATATTTAGAGGGGCGTGACGCGCAGGACGTCCAAGATGTTACCTTTCTCACTTCCAGCTCAATGCAGATGGATTCATGATTAAGTAGTGATGCTTTATGTTGAGAATCTACAGCTACAGACATATGCCCAAGTGGTTAGAGAGGACCTCATGATCCATGTCTCGACTCGCCCTCTTCCATCCGCCGTCTTCTCTTCTCTGCTTTCGCCGTCATCTCGTGATGCTCCCCAATACCTTCCAGTCTGGAAAACAAGCGGTCAGCGGGTTTGCACTCTCAACCAGCGAAAAGACATACTGAGTTGGTTTCTCCATCGTAGGATCTTCACTCGTAAAGTACGGTGTCTTCAGAGCCGAGTCTGCCGAAAGACGTTTCAAAGGGTCGTAGAATAGCAACCCTTCCACCAAATCAAGGCCGGCTGGACTCAACCACCTACTTTCTCATTAGCTGCCTTCATCTAACACGGCATATGCTTACTTGGCAAACGAGCTTCTGAATTTACTCCCCACAACCTCCTTTGGCTTGACCAGCTCGTACCAAGGCAACGCCTTCACCCCCGGCCACTCGCTCTCCTTGGGCGTGCCCATGATGGAGTAGATGGTCTCGAGCTGGTGGATTTCGTCGTTGCCTTGAAAGATCGGTTTGGTGGTGAACAGCTCGAGGATGATACAGCTGGTGATTGTCAGCCGTGCACCAAACAGCAGATGGATGTACTTACCCAGCAGACCACATATCCACCTCGGGCCCGTATACCGTCTCTCCCAGTAAGAGCTCCGGGCTTCTATACCAAAGCGTCACAACACGATTCGTATAGTCCTCCCTCCTACCCCTTCCCCGATCCTTTTCATAAATCCTCGCCAGCCCAAAGTCGGCGAGCTTGAGTTCTCCTCTCGCGTTGATCAGGATATTGCCGCCTTTGAGATCACGGTGAAGGATAGAGTGGTGGTGCAGACAGGACAGGCCAGCGAGCATCTGATGGGAAAGGGATTTGATGTTGGCGGGGGTGAAGCGGAATGTAGGGTGGGAGAGGAGGCCGGTGAGGTCGTGGTCCATATACTCGAGCACCATGTACACGGAGCCTGTCCGAAAGTCAGCACTGGTCTCATCTTGACACGCGATCCTCACCTTGCTCGACAATCATCTCGAGAAGCTTCAAGACATTGCCGTCTTTCAGTGCTTGCAGCAGCTTGATCTCTCTCATCGCCGTCACCGGGAACCCATCCTTCTCGCCTTCCATCCGAATCCGCTTGAGCGCCACAAATTGGCCGGTGATCGTAGACCGGGCTTTGTAGACTTTACCGTAGGTACCTTCGCCGACGTGCGTGATCTTCTGATACACTGGCAGCGGGGCGATATCTTCAGGCACAGGCGCAGGCTCAGGAGGCTGAGCCGAAGTATCCGACGGTGCCGGAGTGGGTTGCGCCAGCACGTCCACAATGGGCCCAGCATCGACCTCCATCTTCTCCCCATCCAGATCGTCCCTCTCTTCACCGCCTTGCACGATCCCGCCCTTCCCAACCTGTTCCAAATACATCCTCCCTTCCTCCTCTTGCGCTTCCCACCCCATCCTCGCATCCCAAACTTCTTCTACGCGGGTGATTTCGTCCATCGTCGCACGTTTATTGAGGAATTCGTCGAGGAAGAGGTCCATCGGTGGAAGTGGGTGTCGAGGATTGACAGAGGAGGAAGGGGAGGGAAGGAGGGTGGCGTAAGCGTCGAACGCTGCGCGGAGAAAGGTGGGCAAGGCGGATAGGAGGGTGTTGTATCGCTGAGAAGCGAGTGCAAGTCGATGGATGAGAGCGTCAGGATGAGGTAAAGTCGCCTGCTCATTCTTTTCTATCGCTGTCGCAGCTTGCACTTCTGCCTGACTCTCTTTTTGAGATCCACCGTCCCCAGCCTCATCTTCCGCCTCATCATCAAACAACGACAACTTTCGCTTCTCCACCCCGGACGCAATCCCAACGCCTCCCACGCCCGATAACGACTTCCAACCACCCTTCCCTTCCGTACCCCCATTACCCTTTGCCTTGGCTGGCACGATGGGCGCGAATGAGATTTTGAGCGGCTCCATCCTCTGTAGAGGCTGGTGTTCTTCGACTTGGGGTTCGGGCTCGGGGATGGGTACGAGGGGATCTTCGGGGCGGGGGATGTACTCTGCGAAAGAGGTGGGTGCTTCTATTGATATTTGGGGTCGGGGGGAGGGGTAAGATGGGTATGTGTCCTGGTATCGGGGCTCGGGGGAAGGTGAGCGATGGGGCGGTTCTAAGCGCTCGGGTTCACGAGGTGACAGAGCGTGGCGGGGGGAAGAGATGGGCACAGGTCTGGGTGGGGTATACCCACTGGGCTCTGACGGCGCTGGAGAGCCTCTTTTAGACGGAGGTTGCCCTCGTAAAGCTCGTGAAGGTTTGATCCGATCATACCCATACTTTTCCGCTTGCTCCCTCCCAAACTCTCTTTCCTCCCCGCCTCTACGCCCTCCATACCCCGCTGAAGGACCGTCTCGGACGTCTCTTTCTCGATCCATCATGTCGGACCGAGACCAGCGTCCGTTACCTTCGGAATTTGGAGGTTCTCGGTTGAATGATGGGCTGGGGTCGGTGGGAGGGAAGGGACGGGAAGGGGGACGGTCGTCCCAGGGGGCGTCTCCGCTGGGGTTTGGGGGGCGGCCCCATTGGCGCATGGGGATGTCTCTGCCCGTATTTCGTGGAGGACCAGGCGGGCCAGGCGGACCAGATGGACCAGATGGACCAAGCGGACCGGGTCCAGGGGGATAGTTGGCATTGGGCCCAAACGGAGGACGGTCGTCGAACCGTCTGTCCTCAAAGCCTCTCCCAGATCGTCCACTCGCAGGTCCAGTCGGCACCCCATTCAGCCCTTGCCCCGGTCCTGGGCCAGGGCCAAACCGATTCGGCGTGGGCGTAAAAGGCGCTGGCGGCGGTAAAGGTCCGCCCCGACGTCGGAGGGACCAGCCGTTATCGCCCGAACGATCCGACCGGTCTGGAGGAGGCTGAGAGTGAGGGAAAGGGGGTCGATTTTGGGTGTGGGCGTGGGGAGTGTGCTGGCGGGGGTCAGAGTGGGGTCGTGATGAGTCTCCTCGGTCAGACCTGTTTTCCCGTGGACGGTCGTAGCCCCCGTCTCTGTCGTGGTCGCGTCCACGGCCGTGGGCGCGGCGGGACCAGCCGGATGTTGTGGACAGACGGTCCGAGTCTGCAGGAGAGGGGGATCGCTGGCGGTGTGTTTGGGAATGGGAGAGGGTCGGCGAGCGAGTACGGTCTCTGGATCGGGATGGAGCAGATAGTGAAGGGGACACGGGTCTTTGCGATGATGGACTACACTCTGTCAGCTATAGCACGGAAAGAAAAGAGAAACGACTCACGCGTCTCTGCTACCGCCGCCAACACCATAGTCCGGACTCTCTCTTCCACCTCGCCGTCTCTTTGTCGGCGGACCCTGCTGATCTCGGGGGGGTAGGGGGCGGTTATGAGGTACTGGTGGGTTGGTGTAGTTACCGGACTGACCCGGGGGACGTTCGCTCGTAGGAAGCGGCGGGCGGTTGTAGCTCTCCTCCCTCCCCCTTCCCCTTTCTCTCCCTCTATCCCTTTCCCTATCCCTATCCCAATCTCCGCCTCCGCCATTGAAGCCCTGCCGTTCTGAATCCTTCCCACCATGCCGTCTCGCTTCTCGCTCCTGCCTCTCTTTCTCGGACTGCGTCACAAAGTTGGCCCTGGGCCGCTCGGGGGAGAGCTCTTTCCTCTTGCCTTGCGCTCTCCAGCCGTCATCTCTGCCAGGCCTCTCCCTCTCCCTCTCCCTTTCTCTTTCCCTTTCCCAATCATTCCCCCGACCGTCCCCACCAGCACCACCCCGATTCCACCCCTGGTCTCTAGGCCCCGCCCTTCCCCTTCCCCACCCCTGTCCCTGTCCTTGTCCTTGTCCTTGTCCTTGTCCTTGAGGTCCTTGAGACGATTGCCCATGTTGCGCGGGGTGTTGGGGCGGTTGGTGTGGGCGCCAGGATTCCCTCTTGAACGGGCGGTGGTTTGGGGTGGACATTGCCTGGGGTGGGTTTAATGAGAGAGGAGGTGATTTCAACAACAACGAGCAAATGGCGCGAGAATGGTCGTTACGTAATGGCGTATTAGGAGGGGGTTTAAGAATGATGATGCATGATGTATCTTGATGCATGCATGCATGAGGAACAGAGTATCAGTGCATGTAGTGATAGGTGAGTCTGCGAATGTACCTACCGCTTCCCTGGAATCATCGAACAGTGCTTGATCCGTGGTTGATGAGAGGCTTGTTCTTTGTGCGGTGCAGCTCGCTCTTTGAGTGTCCTCTTGACTGCTTCATACTGCAAAGCCACTGTTGATTAGCTCAACATGAGGGACGAATGGATGTAAGACTCCCTATGTTCTGACGGAATACTTGGTCTTTGGAGGATGCCAACGGTGATGGCTTCTAATGTACGGGTAGGAGAGTTTAGCACACGTCAGCAAGACGCCGCACCAGTGACTGACCACCTCTGCAAAGCGTCCATTTGCGCTGAGTTGATCAGCTCGGCTCCCGACATCTCTTCAGTACCCACTAACGGCTGACAGAGTGCTACATGACATGTCAGCTGACTCTTCGTGTGTCAGGTCATGCCATGTGTTGATGAGGTCGATCGACGAGGAGTTGTAACGGCTCTCGGGCGCAAGCATTCCGGTAGAGATATGTGGACTAGGTTCAATGAAAAGGGCTGAGAATACACTTCGATCATGGTCTCCCCAGCTCCTCGTTCAACATGGGTGTCAAAGTACCGAGGTTCGGCACTCCTTTATGCTAATGCCTGTCTCATAATGGACAGCCGTATCTGCCTGCAACTAGCCTGTGTTGTGTGCGCTCAGTGACCCTGCATGCTCACCCATCTTGACACTGAACAGTTATAGAAGCAGGCTTATGTAAGAGATGGGTGGTTCGACGCGTGAATAATACTCAGCCCAGGACTTTTGGGCCACTCGGCCCGGAGGCTGATTGGGAGATTGGGCCGCAAAACAGCGCCCATCTCCTCTTTCTTTTCGACATCGCTCTTCTCCCCACCACGCCACGATGGCCCCCTTTGGACCCCGCCAGCGCCACGACCCCGCCCCCCGCCAGCCGCCCCAACAGCAGCCCCAGAACCCCAACGTCCGCAACGAGGTATTCGAAAACATCTTTGGCCGTCCTGCTGTCGGCCACCATCAGTCCCATGGCCCTCCCCCGGGGCAGCATGCACCCCCGCAGCCGCCCCCGGGAGGGACCTATGGGTACAAGCCGTATCCGCAGCAGCAGCAGCCCTCGTCCTACCTCCTCCCTGCCCAGCCGTCTTATCCGCCAAGCTTTCCTGCACAGGGCCCACCTCGGCAACAGCCGTCGCCCTTCGCGTACCGTCCTCAGCCCACACCGGCTCCCCAGCCATTACCACCAGCCGAGGATCCGTATGACTCTGTGTATGGAGGGGTAGAGGGGGGCTACGGCAATCGATCGGTCAGTGCTGGGCATCCCCAGGCGTTGATGGTACGTGGTCTCCATCTCCAAGTCGGTGTCGCTAACGGTCCCACAGCCTGCTGGAAGACGTGCTTCCCTAGCACCGTCTACGTACTCTGGCACATCCTCTGCCTCAGCCTACTCTCCGAATCCCAACGACATTGCCTCCCCACACCAGCCCACGGCACGACTACCCTCAGCAACCTTTCCTACGCCCAAACCACGGCTGCCTTCGGGCCCGAATCTGCAGTACCCCGCAGGGGCCATGACGCCCGCGCAGGCTTATCAGACGAATGTCAGTAGCGGGTATGGTGCGGCGCAGGTGCAGGTGCCAGCGCCGCATGGCATGTCGTCGGGGGCGCCGGTGGCCTTTCCTCGGCGCCCATCACAACCCCACTACGGGAGTGAAGCGTCGTCTTCAAACGCTTCCTTTGCTTCGTCGTCAAACCCGGCAGCGCTGGGAAGGATGCCGACTAGCAATTCGATAACTTCGTTCCACAAGCCGACGACGCAATCACCACCACCGCCGCCAAATGTCGAGCGGTCGACGACACCAGACTATATCGGGCAGATGGGGCATTTGAGTTTTGAGAATAGTCCGGTGAAGGGGGGGTTTCAGGATGATGTGGCGAATGCTGGTGGAAGGGAAGATGGTGAGTCCTTCAAGGCAAGATCCTTGGAAGGAAAGGAAACACGCTGACAGAGATGCAGAGCGAAGGGATAGGCATGGATCTGCGTCAGGCATGGCGAGGGCGAGTATGCATCGCCGTATGGCGTCCGACTCTAGCCTGTCCAGTAGCGGGCACACTACCAAGCCTTCCAGGCCTGTCATTGCGTACGTGTTCCTTGTTTTTTTCTTGAAATGGCGCGCTTATAAGAAGAACAGCCCACTATCGACGATTGATGCGACACGCGACGAGGCGATCATCTCCACCCCCACAACCCCCACAGGATCGGTCTCTGACATGTACACCATGGCACTCCTCAACTCTTCCCGCCAGAGTATGGAGTCGACTTTGTCTTTACCCCTGCCGACGTCGGACCACCCGCTACCGCCTGGTGCTGCCCCGGGGTTCGAAGTTCGCTCGACATCCTTTTCTGGGTCGACGAGAAGCGGCGAGCATACACTCAAGGGACGGGGCAGTGGTTTCCTCCATCGACACTCGCACGATCACTCCAACTCGTTCTCCATCTCCCGCCACACCTCTGTCCCTCCTGCAACACGCCAAGCGCTCTCCGCCCTCCCTCCCATCTACCCCGCATTGCTCTCAGCAGTCGCGGGAGCTTTCAAGCAGATCATTACGCTGGGCGATCTGGTGAAGGATGGAATCACTTACAAGGATTCGTTTGAGGGGCGACTGGCGGTTGCGGTGATTGCAGAGATCATCAAGACGCCGGACCGCAATCTCGCCCTCCTACTCGGCCGCGCGCTGGACGCTCAAAAGTTCTTCCACGACGTCACATACGACCACCGTCTGCGAGACAACCCCCACGAGCTGTATCAGTTCAAAGAACGGCTCGCGACGCCGTGGCTCGAGGGGCAAGAGAATGGAGGGACGGAGAGCCCGAAGAGCGAGCCGGGCGGACTGGGGAGGAATGGGAGTGGGAAGAGTTTGAATATGGGGATGGGGATGGGGTTGGGGAGTGGGTTGAGGGCGTTGAGGCAGGCGAGGCCGAATTCGGATACGCTGTCGATGCAGACGTCGGGATCTGCCACGTCCCTCACTTCCACCCCCGCCACGTCTCTCGCCCCTTCAAGGTCCGGCACGCTCGGGGTCGACTTGAACCCGGAAGAGGATGAAGATCTGCCTGTGGGAGTGTTTACGCTCTTGACGGATTGTTATTCCCCGACGTGTTCGAGGGACAGTTTGTGTTATTCGATCAATTGTCCGAGGAGGTTGGAGCAGATGAAGAGGTTGAATATGAAGCCTGAGCCGGGGTTGACGAGGAAATTGAGTAGGGAGAGTTTGCACGAGGTCAAGGTGGGTTTCCATTTGTTCTTTGAGTGGATTGAGCTGATGGGGGAGAATAGGAGACGGGGACGTTGTGGATTCACTCGGTGTCGCAAGATATTCTGGATAGCGTGGATGATAGGGAGAAGAAGAGGCAGGAAGCGATCAACGAGGTGATCTATACAGAGAGAGACTTTGTCCGCGATTTGGAATACCTTCGCGATGTGAGTACACTTTCGAGAGTCTGCCAGGGCGATTGCTGATATGATTCACAGCTCTGGGTCAAACCGCTCCGCACGCAAGAGATTGTCGACCTCGACCGTCGAGACGACTTTGTCCGCCAAGTCTTTTGGAACGTGCACGACGTCCTCGCAGTCAACCAGCCCCTCGCCGAACGCCTCACCAAGCGCCAACAAAAGGAACCTGTCGTCTCTGGCGTCGGCGACCTATTCTTGGAGCGCGTCCCTTTATTCGAACCGTTCGTGACGTACGGAGCGCATCAGCTGTTTGGCAAGTACGAATTCGAAAAGGAGAAGGGGTCAAACCCCGACTTTCAAAAGTTTGTGGATGAGACGGAGAGAAAACCCGAGTCGAGAAAACTCGAGTTGAATGGGTATCTTACGAAACCTACCACCCGTCTTGGACGATATCCGCTTTTGCTTGAAGCGGTGTTGAAGTATACGCCGGACGATCATCAGGATAAGAAGGATCTGCCAGAAGTGATCAAGATGATCAAGGGGTTCTTGGGCAAGGTAAATGTAGAGAGTGGAAAGAGTGAGAATATCTTCGAGTTGGCGCAGATCGAGCAGAAATTGGTTTTCAGGCCGAATGAGAATATCGTGAGTCTTTCTTTGGTGTTGTGACTGGAGCTAACGAATTTGTCAGGATCTGAGGCTGAGAGACAAGAACCGCGAGATTGTGCACAAGGGGCCGTTGAAGCGAAGGGGAGGTAGCAGGGAAGAGATTGCGGATCTGACGGGTTTCCTGTTTGATCATGCGTTCCTGCTAGTCAAGCCCAAGTGGGTCAACAAGAGCGAACAGTACAAGGTCTATCGACGAGTGAGTCATTCGTTATCTGGCCTAGAGCTCGCGCTGATCAAACCGCCAGCCTATCCCGCTCGAGTTGCTCGTGCTCGTCACCCCCGACGAATCGTACAACTCTAGTAAACTCTCGCATGGTCGAACACGGCTCATCACCCGGCACACGACTTCCTCAAATAACCAAGCCGCCAACTCTGTCGCTGCTCCTCCCAGACCCGAGTCCAAACATGGCTTTTCCCTTACCATCATCCACCTCGGAAAGAAGGGCTACTCGATGCAGCTTTGGGTGGATACGTATATCGGGAGGAAGAAGTGGTTGGAGAGTATAGATAAGCAGCAGACGTCGTTGAGGGAGAAGAGCTGTGTGTTTGTTAGCGAGAGTGTCGCGGATGGGTCACCGAGTGGATTGAGAAAGGTCAATTGCGCGAGTCCTTATGGTGAGTCGTCTCCAACCTGCCTGATCGCACACTGACGTGTGCGTAGACCAAGGAAACAGAATGATCTTTGGTACCGACGACGGTGTCTACTTTGCCAACCTGCGCGACGACAAGCTCAAGGATCCCGTCAAAGTCATCTCCCTCATCGACGTGACCCAGGTCGACGTCATTGAAGAGTTCCAGCTCCTCATCGTCCTGCACGAGCGCTGCGTGACGACTTTCCCTCTTGATTCGCTGGACCCGTCTGATCCTGCCGCGGCGTTGAAGAGGGGAAAGCGGATCAGCTCGCATACGAGTTTCATCAAGAGTGGAGTGTGTCTTGGAAAGACGCTGGTGGCTATTGTGAAGAGTAGTACGTTGAGCTCGACGATAAAGGTTATGGAGCCAGTGGATGTGGGACAGAACAAGAAGAAGGCGCAGGCGGGCTTTATGAAGAGGTTGAATGGACGAGAAGATGCGTTGAAACTCTTCAAGGTGTGTCGCCCCTTTAACATGTTGCGGAACAATGCTCACAGTTATGTCAGGAATTCTACATCCCCACCGAATCTTCCTCTGTTCATTTCCTCAAGACCAAGCTTTGTGTCGGGTGTACCAAAGGCTTTGAGATTGTCGACCTTGAAACCCTCGATATGCAGGGCTTGCTGGACCCGTCGGATGGATCTTTGGACTTTGTGTTGAAGAGGGATAATGTGAGGCCGATTGCCATCTATCGGATTGAGGAGGATTTCTTGTTGTGTTATGACGGTACGTTCTTTGTCTAGGGTAGGATCAGTGCTGATGACTAGACAGAATTCGCATTCTACGTCAACAAGAATGGATGGAGAGCGAGACCGAAATGGGCTATTGTCTGGGAGGGTGTCCCTACGGCGTTCGGTAAGTCGGTCATGCTACCCATGAGCCATCTGACCGTGTTCTAGCCCTGCATTACCCTTATGTCGTCGCCTTCGAGCCTACGTTCATCGAGGTCCACCATGTCGAGACTGGGCATCTCGTCCAGATCATTCCCGGCAACAACATCCGGTGCCTCTTTGCCGATACCCCTCCTTCCCGAGTCAACGCCCCTCCCCCTCCCAACCGTATGATGTACCCTGGTCAAGCTGGAGGAGTATACGGCCGTCCCCCGCCCCACCCCGGATACCCCTACCCTCCCAACACTGCAGCCTACCCTCACGCCCCGCCTGCCGGCAGAGGCTACTACCCCAACCCGCCTCTTACCTCCGGCGCTCGCCCTCGCCCGCCTCCCCAAATGGGCGGATACCCCGTTCCCCATCCGCATCAGCAGGCTCCGCCGGGACCTCCGGTGAATAGGTTTGCGCGGTCGCAGGTGGTGTTTGTGAGCGACGAGAGTCATGTGCAGTTCCTCAAGTTCCCTCCGCCGCCTACGCCGGGACCGCAGGGGCAGAGAGGGAGTCTAGGTGCGCAGAGTACGACGAGTCTTGCGGGGCCGAGGGGGTCGAGATAGATCTCCATATCTCTCTCATCACAATCAACAATCTTCTAACGCCCCCTGACGACATTTCTTTTCCCCTGTTTCTTAACGTATATCATTTTGTAATCGAACCTCATACATGATCCCCATATACCTCTGGTTTTGACTGTTATCCATATACCCTTCGAGACCTTTTTATTATTCGGATCATTTTTTGGTGTTTCTTTTGATTTTGATCTTTCTTCCCGTGTGTGTAGCATCCTTACCTTTATATATATATCCTGCTTTTGTCCCTTTTCTGTCGCGCTATACTAGATACAAATAGTAATACATGATACATGATATGTTTTTCTCATTTGGCATCCACAATATGCATAGTCTTTGACGCGACGGAGTCCAGAGCATCACCAACTCAGTAGGAATCAAACTCATGGCATGGTCACGTTAACGACTGGCTGCCAGATGCAGCAAGTCCATACGAGTGGACGCTAAGTCGCAAGAAACGCATCATGCTACTCTTCAACGCATCATATAAGCATGGTATGGGATGATAATGATAAAAGATTGTCGCCGGTGCGAAGGATATCAGACTGGATTACACGACTTTTCTCGTTTCTGTACCCCTCTTGACATGCTGTTGACACCCCTTTAGCGTAGCGAGCTATATCTCAACTTGTCGGTCCTACATGAATAGCTGATGTTAGCATGGACGAAAATCCAGTACTTGGTCAAGACAGTCACTTGCCTTGTTGAACATTGCTCGCAGCACAGACACGGGTCGCGGCCTTGAAGAATCTGACTGTACCCCCGGCACGTCTCGAGTGGCATCCGCTACTCTCTGCAATTTCTGCGCGAAGATGGTCAGCATTGTAATCGTCTCGAGATCAGCCCCGACCTCTCTCCCGAGGCACCCGCAGCCTTCTCCCTTCTCAGAAGGTTTGCTACTTCTTGCGGCGACACTCGAGCTCTCCCGTATCGCGCTCCCCTCTATCCAAGCCAAGATCACGTCCCTCCAACAGCAAGCCCTATACCAAGAGTCGAATTGGCGTTTTCAGATGGATAAGCCGAGATATCTCTTCTTGGCTGGAGACCCTGCTCAACAAGAGATACACATCACTATCTACAACGAGACAGGTGAGGTGTCAATTCCGGTTGTAAAGGATGACGGGATAGGATTGGCTGCTGTGGTGGCGAGGAGACGGGGAGGGCAGGTCGCGATGTTGACTTGGGATGAGAGCCTCAGCTTGAGGATGAAGTCGGTGGTAATATGGACATTCAGCCCTATAAAGAAGTATATAATTGTTGTACGTATAGTAGAGTACGAGTAGAGTATGCGACCTGTAAAGTAGTTTTATTTCTTTGTGTATAAACAACCTTGCAGACCAGAGTACGATTGGCCGTGGCTGAGACATTGCAACCCGCATCGGCTCCACACTGTAAATCTGCAAATAATTCCCGATACACCAACGATTATGCCCTTTGACGCTGCATCATATCGAGGTAATACTGTTACGAGTAGAGTACTTGTACTCTACTGTACTCGTAGAGTAGAGTACTCTACGGCGCCTTCAAGCCCCATGGGCTTTCTTAGCTTTACTCGCCTCCGCCTTCGCCTCCGTCTTCCTTACCGTTACCCGTTCTCGTTCTCTTCCTCTCTTCTAGTACAAGTGAGGCTGTCCGACGTACGTCGACACCATATTCGCTACCCTTACCTTCTTCCACCCGTCTCCTCTCTCTTATTGTCGTCAGTCTTTTCGTCCGCTTCGCTGGTCGACTTGTACCCTTATTCACTTCGTGCCGTAGTCGTGTCAAGTAGTCGCTCCGCCTATCGCCCCGTCACGGCTGGGTGTTGGGACAGAGAATTCAGACACAACTCTTCGACTCTCTTCTCTCCTCCCCCTTCTTCTTTAGCCAACACTCCTCCTTCCAAGGCCTCATCCAAGCACCTCTGTGTCCTCCTCTTCACGTACATGGGCTCAACCCTTAATGTCCTCCCAGAGCAGGCCTGATCACCAGACGCGCACTTGATTGCTTCAGCGCGTCGGGCCAGCGTCCCGGTATGTTACCCTCGACACCGGGGCACATATGGACATGTCGAGGAACAGGGGCTACAGTGTACCACTCCTGAATCTCTCTATACACGGTTTAACCTTGCTGCCATGCACTCCCCTTTCACCTATCTGGCGGACTTGGCCAGGTCTGTTGTGGTAGTCTATTAGATCCTGGCGAGAAATAGGCGGAGAAGGGAAATAGGCCCGCAAGAGTTTCCTTTGCAGGGTTTCATGTTGTCACACAGACATAGATCTTCTTCCCTATATGCAAACTAGATAACCTAACCTTCCAACAAGGTCTTCTGGGATAGGATGGTAACTTGGCATCATCCGCAAAGACAGGCAAGTCTCTCAAGACTTTAGGCATGGTCTTGAGGTACTCGTAAGTCAGTGCCCTGGTTCCTCACCAACTCTGACTCAGTCTCAGTCTCAGGACAACCCCCGCACAGTCCTGTTCTCTTACACGCTCATCGACATCTGACGCGTCTGTATGTGACAGAAGAAGGCATTTCTTGTTCTTTACATATATGCCAATGAGCCCCGGACTCTGATGATGCAGCGGACACCATACATTCCATATTTTACAGCAGCAATACACGTGTCCAGACTCGATCAAAACTTGAAAAGATCGGGCACATTTTTTATAATTACAAAAAAAAACATACTGGGAGATCTTGCGCGTTAGCCAACGACGACACACTGTTTTGCATGACTCACCACGACCACCGATCCACTGACTACTCTCTGAAGGTTCAAGAGGACGTATGGGATCTTGCTGAAAAATTCTATAAAATGGAAACAGAATTTCCCCATCCCATAGACTCTCAGGTTCCTCTCGTCTCGTTCGGCGCCTCCTGCTACTGTAGTCATGGGAATTGACGAGATTTCGAGGAAATTGGAGTTCCAGGCTCTGATGACCTGGAAGGGAGCAAGAGCTTGGAATATCCGGGGCTTCGAGCCGTGAAAGACAGTGGTCGCCAGTAAGGTGAAGCCGATGGCTCCCCTGAGATTGGTGTAAGAAGGTGAATCGCTAGAGCACACTGATACACTCACCACTTGCGAGCCACGCTATGCACTCCCTCTTTGGGAGAGAAGATATAGTAGAGCAAGACGCCCACATTGCCACCGAAAAAGATGACTAACCACAGGTCTACCGGGGAGGAGGTGAGCTTAGATCACCGAATAACACTGCGGGCGCTTACACAGGCTTAGGTCCAGTCGCCCCCAGAAGTCATCGACGTGGGCAAAAGCCCTCACCACGTCCTGCTTGTTAGAGTCGGGGTGGCTGGGCGGCGAAGACGCAAGGGGATCGGTAGGGACCGGCTGGGGAGTGGGGTTCATGGCGAAGTTGTGTGGAGGTCGACGAGGGCAGAGTAATGAGAAGGGTGGAAAGTGCGGAGTGTGAGAGAGGATGGGGGAGAACAGCGATGGGGAAGACGAAAGTGAAATGATGCAGGTGAGAGGCGGAGCGAGCAGGTAGGTGGTGAGGATCATATTCGGTCCCGTGCCTTGGAACGTTTGATCACACTCCCACAATCTCACTGGGATCCTTCTTGCCCCTCGTGTGTCGAAGACTGGTATACAGTCTTTAGCACTTCAACACCTGGTAAGATGAATGCATTACGTACCTGGTATACAGTCTTTAGCACTTCAACACCTGGTAAGATGAATGCATTACGTACCTGGTATATAGTCTTTAGCACTTCAACACCTGGTAAGATGAAGAAGCAGATCTGTACACCAGCTATGGAAGAAAGTACCGCCAGCCAACAATTTCGTCTAGAATAGTTCCGTCACCTTACGTAACCTCGCGCGTCACTCTACGTACTGAACTCCAACTCCAACATCGTGGAGATCCGGCCACTCATGAATATCATATTCTTGGGCAGTACATGTACGGGGAAGAAAACGCTTCTGAGCAGCCACTGGAGTAGTCGAACAACACCAGTACACTCCGGCGGCCAAGTTCGGGAAATAAAGTGGCGCGCCGAGTGAGGTCGTCGGGAGCCCGAGCTCCGGCCCACGCCGCCAGCGTCAGCACAAGGCTCGTGACGGGTACGTTTGACTAGATGACTCGAGAGAGATCCCGACCATCGAGCTGATTGCAACTTCGTTGTCCTCGGAGAAGTGATAGCTACCTTTTGGTACAAGGTACATATCTCTTTGCACGGTATTACGGTACAAATTCGCCAGACCCCCCCAATGGACAGTTGGGGACGGAGATGCGGCCCGTTTACGTGCCTCCCATTCTCAGACTCAATGGCGGATTGATATAGAAGGGATACTGCTCGAAGAAAGTGACCGCGAGAGATGAAATGTAATGGTTGAGTGTTCCCCACACGTACCAACAATAGGGTGCATACAGCTCCTTAATATCAGTCCACATAGACCAGCTCTAGTTGGTTTGAAGGCAAGTCATGTATGGCCTCATGTCCATTTAGTTCCTTTGTACAGTCCTCGAACAATTGATGCCACACTGCGAACAATGTCGGGTCTCTGGTGACATGTTTCACCAGCAGGATCCAGCCATATCCGATATGGGATCGGGAGGTTGGATGACCGGCCTGGCGCAATGCCTGTGTGGTTCCAAAACCATTTGCAAGCAAGCTGAAAAAATGGACAGTACTGGTCCTGTCGGACGACGTGACGTCGGTGAGACTCGGAGCATGCTGCTCCCAAGTTGCTGGAATGTAGCCGTTCTCTTCCCATGAGTACAAAGCATGAAGGACTTTGGAGAGTTCCCGAGCACCTTCGTTACACTGTAGGAGTCTCAGACAGTGTTATGTCCAGCTCAGTATAGAGACTCACGTTTCTCCATTCTTCGAAGAGGAGCCTCCACCACATTTTTGAGAAGTCGTTAGACGGAGCGTTGGAGAACATACCCCAACATGGGACATCTGGGTCCATTGCTCGAGCCTTCTGTGCTACCAGCTTGGGCGGTGCTTTACTCAACCACTCGATGATATGCACCATGTCGATACACGCCAGCCATGCTTTACAAGCCTCTTGCCGGCTGACCTGATAAACATGGCGGTGAGTTTTTATGCAATCCTCTTAACAAAACGTATCCTATCAATCTTACCTTGATATGTTCATGCGCAAACTCTGTGAAGTAGTGGCTCTTGAGACCATTCCTGAGTGTACACGGCTCATACGAGATGGGCTTGCTTTGCACTTTTTGAGAATGTTTCTCGGTCTGCGGGCACTTTTCCAAAGCAAAATGATATGCGTTTGGATAGTACAAGAGGAATGGGTTTGTACTCAATATATGCGGAAGGAGCTCCAGCTCAGGATTTGCTTCTTGGTAGGAGGGCGGCAGGCTGCCGTCATCACCATGAGAACCAGAAGGACTGCTGGGCATATTCCCTGTTTCCGATGGCACAACAAGGGTCTTGAGTCGAAACTTCCTAAGTGGGGGATGGCGAAGGTCCAAGGTTGAGATCAAGAAGGAGGATGCTTCGAATTTTCTATCATATGCGGAAACTTACAGTATTCGTTTCCGCCTCGTAAACCGCGACAACTTGGCGACAACTCACTTACGTCATACTCGAGTATACTTACGGATGTACTTGTAATTAACATTGTATCATCAAGTTGAGGGATGCTGTCTGCCGCATCGTACTTGTACAGTATGCACGCCCTGTCGAATGAGATGTGCCGGTGTGGCTCATCGATACTACACTGAAGTCGTCGCAGTCGATCTACATTGTTGAACAACATTTGAGGGCGTGAGCACGAGGTCTGTGGCGTTATATATGTCCCTTCGATCATCATCATCGCGCCCCTGGCTCGCCTCACCTCGCAGCCCAGTCGCTGCGTGTTGGCCGCCAGCACGCAACAACGAGTATGTAAAGTATATACACACAGCGATCTCATGGACCATGAACACCAACGGCGTCGGTGACTGCGTCCAGGGGACCCCGCGCTGGGTGAGACGATGGTGCGATGGCTGGTAGTCACTGTGCGGTGGAAGCCCAATATGAACTGCTGCCGACAGATCACTTGTACATTACTGAAATCCTACATCTTCTGTATCAACACCATTCACAGGTCACGCCTCTGTTCCATCCGTCGTTTCTTACTCCCCGTCTGCCCCATCAAGCCTTCAGCTTCCTGTCGTAGATGCATTGTAAAACATCCTTTACAAGTCGACTCATCCAACGTAATCATCTCTGTTCCGTTGCAGACATGTTTGGTAGGTGGCTCGGCCTTCTGATATTCGATTTCTTTTTGGATGATACTCTCCGGCACACTATGGCACACTAGCGTAAGCCGAGCTGAATTGAAGGATGGGGTTGAGAAGAAGAAGATTGATATGCGCCGGGCGATTTGGTAGTCGTTGACACAGTACGTGTAGGCCATTTTGCGATGGCGAGAAACAAGATTTTTGGTGGCAGTGGTTGTTGTATTCAAGGTTGTTTCTTGCGATAAGCTGGCCGTTCGTCTCACGATCTTGCTGTATGATACCTTTAAATACGCCGAAAACCGTAGCAGAGTGGCGCATTTCTCCGGTAAGATATGAAGGGCGAGTGTTTATTGCTGATGGTGGAGTTGACTATTTGGCCCCCAATTCCATCGAAACCATCGTAAATTTTTTCCTGAATCGGCACCCTAAACCATCTCATCAATACCCTGTCCACCTCACCCATCACACCCGATCCCAGCCGGCAAAGATGGAAGGGAGAAAGAAGAAAAACTCACCGAATAACATCCAATCCCGCCCCCACCGCCACATCCCTATACGTCTCCCACGGCACCTCCAAGAAAGCCAACTCTTCAACATCCAAACAACAAACCAACGCCCTCACCCCTTCTCCTTTGATCCTCCTCAGATCTGTCGCTAGACCACGGCAGACAGGGCCGCGGCCTTTGGAAGGGGCGTCCATGCGGAAAAGTTTGCCGAGGCAGGAAGAGAGGAGGAGCTTGCCGAGGGTTTTGGTTTGGGTTGGGGTTGAGCAGACGGAGGGGGAAGGGGAGGGATGGTAGAGGTGGAGGTCTCTAAAGCTGGATTGGAGGGGCGAAGGGTTAGGTGCCGATGCCGAGGGCGGCGCAAAGCCGAAAAGCAGACTCGGCACATCGATTCTTGAACCCAACATCATCCTCTTCCCTTCTTCCACCTGCCCTACCATATTCCTCGACAAGATGTCAGCAGTTCAGAGAGGAAGAATGGGGAAACGATGATAGGGTGTGATTCGGACGTTTTGACGACCATGCCGAATACCGCGGCGGGCGTAGGGTTTCGCGCGTGGGCGTCTGCTTGTGACAAGGCGGGCACAGAAGCAGACATCCGCCCACCCTGCGCCGTCGAAACAGACGCTTTCGCGCTCTCGGAGGGAGAGAGTAGAACCCCATTATCGACAGCTTCTTCAACGACCATCTTTACATCTTTTTCGTCCCCTTCCACCTTGCGCCACTTTTCCTCTTCGCGCTGCTGCCCCTGCCCGACCATGGGGCGTTTGGCACCGCACGACTGGGTCCTGACGCGTGTGGGTTGGCGGGCTTCGCGCTGGGGAAGGGGAGGGGAGTGTGTAGAGAGGGGTTCGGTTTCCTGAGGGAGGGAATGGAGCGAAGCGTTGGAAAGACGGCAGCATAAGAGCGCGCTTGTCATCGCTTCTCTCAGCTCTTCCGCCCTCTTATACTTCTCTTCTTCTTTACATCCCCCAGCCCCCTCGAAGCTTGTAGCACACCCAAACAAGATACTCCCCATAGGCGAACTCTCCGCAGAGACATAAGCAGAAAGCTCGCTCACGGACGTATCCGTCTCGTCGTCCGACTCGTGCTCCCCCATGTGCTCCTCCCCCCAGTGGTGCTGGGGCTGGTGCTGACAAGAGAAAAAGGTGGACTAGGTCGTACACAGCTGTTGTTCGAGCTCTGCTTGGCGCTACATTACCACCGCGACGTAGTGCGGGTTGCAGAAACTCTGTGGTTGGTATGATATGTTTGCTCCTAGTAACCTCATCAGCCATGTCCAGCCCAACGACTAATGAAGGAAGAAGGAAGGCTCACCTTTAGGCCATGTTTCGTCATATTATACCCACTCTGCGGCCACTGGCTACACAACCTCGCGCACTCGTGGATCCTCCTGTTCTCAGAGTCGATCCATTCGCGCTGCCTTTTGGCTTTTTCCTCTTTCCACTCCTCCCCCTCCCCCGACGACGACGACGACGACGACGACGATGGCTTTTGCACCATCACCCCCGCTGACTGGGCGGACGGTTTGGCCAGTTGGGAAGAAGGCGGAGGCGGAGGCAGTCGGAGCGGCTGAGTAGTAGTAAGGCTAGACGGCGGCGACGTCCCAGTCTGACTCTGACTGCTCGACTGCCGGCCCGTAAACGATCCTCTCCTCTTCTCATCGCGAATAAACCCTCGGCCAGTATTGGCAACCCCCATCACCATCTTGCCACCCAAGACGGTTTGCATCCTTCCCCTACGAGAGTCATTTGGTCGAGCTCTTCGCCGCCGAGATACCCTGGAGAGAGGGCGGAATCAGAGGGGAGAGAGATATCGTCCGCGTCGATGATATGAGGTTCCGAGTCGGACGAGACGGGTGTCAAGAGCGTAGAGGGTGTTTGGGAGATGATGCTCGCCATGGACGCGCTCGTCTATGGCGTCGACGAGCGGGGAAGCGAATCGGATGGATGATTGTGAAGATTGGTTTGAACAAGACGATTAAGCGATTGACTGTTGGCCATGGAGGGCTTCTTCCCTCCTCCCCACTGCATCTCCAGCATCTCCCTCAGCAGAATCTTCGGGCGTCTCTTTGGATGTGCCAGAAGGGAGGTTCTTGACCTTTCTTCGCACGAAAGAATGCGAATGATGCCCGTGCCTGTGTCGGGCAAAGTGCGGAAAAGAGGTGGAGTGGGCATTGTGACGCATAGAGGGGGTGGCCGTCTTTCGGGGAAAGTATGTTTGGGGAGGAGGGCTGGAGGCGGCGGTTCGGGACATTGTCAAATGTCTTTTGGTGATTAGGAAGGGAGGGTGGCGAAGAAGTGCGGTTGGCTTTGGGTATTGGTAGGGAGAGGAGGGGCTACCGTTTTCTTCGCGCCTTTTGGGATCATGAGCTAGTCACGATGACTGCTTTTGATCGGTTGTCGCAAGAGAAGAGGGAGGAGGAGGAAGGGGTAGGTGGAAAGTGGCGACAAGGTGAATTTTCCGCCTGCCATAAAGCTGTATCAGAGTGTTAGTGCTGATCTTTTCAAAGATGGCATGCGGGGTGGAGGCGTACCAGGTAGGAGGATGTTCAAAGGGAGAGGTCGGGTGATGAGCGGTGGCAAAAGACTCGGAAAGGGGGTATAAGGCAGAGTTCTCGAAGAAGACGAGTTGCTTTTCGGTCGTAGAGCTCAGTGCACTCCTGGAGGAGCAGTAGGGGACGTTGGCGAAGGACCGTTGACCGATTGACGACGTGATAGAAAGAACCGAGGTATAGCGCGCGTTTGTTGACCCTTTTCAGGGACGCAAAAAAAGACCGAAAGAGAACCCAAGAATCGTCTGTGCTTGTTTTGTGTTTTCAGGTGGGAAAGCACAAAGCAAAAATGAATGATATGGGTTGGTGGAGGGGTTGGTTGGGTATTTTACTGCTGGAGGACGAGCTATTGCACAACAGCGCTGGCGGTAATGGACATGGTAGCGATACTGGCACACCCCTTTAGCGTAGCGAGCTATATCGCAACTTGTCGGTCCTACATGAATAGCTGATGTTAGCATGGACGAAAACCCAATACTTGGTCAGAACAGCCACTTGCCTTGTTGAACATTGCTCGCAGCATAGACACGGGTCCCGACCTTGAAGAATCTGACGGCACCCTCGGCATGTCTTGTGTGGCATCCGCTACTCCCTGTAATTCCTGCGCGAAGATGGTCAGCATTGTTGTCGTCTCGAGATCAACCCCAAAGCAAATCCACGCTAGACTTACTTCATCTTCCACGTTCAGCAGTCGCGTCTCGGAATCCTTTATCGGAAAATTCGGTGGAAACACATAATACTCACAGTCCGGCACTACATCCCCCAACATCTCCATCAAGGGTTGCGTGCGCAGATAAGAGATGAACCTGAAGATGTCTTGGACGGTGAAGATGAAGAGGGGAGAGGGATAGTGCGGAAATCGGCTGGATGATGCGGCCTTGCTTGGTTTGAGACGATAACGATTCTTGAAAGTGCTTGTCCTCGCATCCCCAAGGTTATCCCAAGTTCGGGGTACATGATGCGCGGCTTCCCAATCGACGAGCATCTCCATTGCGAGGCCTAGCTCCTCTGTAGCAAGCCGGATCAGTATACGTATCTTTGTTTTTTCACATCGGGCTTCCTACGCACGCTGATAACATTGGAACTACGCGAGATTGCAGTCAGTACCAACAGCGATGTAAGACGGCCCGACTTACGCGCACGATGAAGCGATCCATGTCCTCATAGAGAGAGGAGTAAGGGCCGGTGGCGGCAAATGCGCAGTTGGCCTTGATCCACCTCATGAGGATCGCGCCGTTCGTTGCGATCGCCCAAGCTTTACATAGGTGTAGCCGCGGAATCTGCAAGGGTTGGTCAGGCCTACGTCGGAAGAGGTCGTGAGACTCGGGAAGGAAGTCTTTGCTTACAGGTGAATCCAAGGGTATTGGCGATCAGATTTCCAAGATATAGAGCGGCTCAAGGCGATTGCCAGGTATGTAGCGGTAGGATATGATGGGGGAATGGTGTTTGCTGATCAATTGGCCCCATAGGCCAGATCGGGGCTTGTTTACGGTCTCGAGTATGAATCTGCGAGGCTCGTAATTGCTAGGAAAAATTGTATCCGGCATGGTGATTTCTGTATGACGATAGGGGATCGCGGATGGTGTAGTACCTTCAAGGGCGAGGGAGTTTGAAAGAGCCAAAAAAAATACGGTAGAGTACAGCCGATCGGTACTGTGAGTGGCGGCGGAGTGCGCGGAAGATTGGTGACGCTGGAAGCAGTCAAGAGAAACACTCAAGCAGCTGTACTCAAGTACTTACTGTACGAGTACACCGGGCAGTCGCTCCTCGAAGGCTCATATAAGGATATTGTTAGGCCGCTTACAATCAAAGGAGATGCATGAGCGCAGGATGGAATGAAAACGCACTACCATGTACATTACTTTCGTAGCTGGAGCGTTGACGAACCACTGTACCGAGTACGAGTACTGTGCTTGCCGAAAAGATCATGTGGGTCATGCTCTCACGTCGGACACAGTATGGGCTCTAGACCTGGCTAAGCATCTTGCCCAGTCTGTATGGAACGCAATATCCGGATACGTCTCCTGAGTACTGGTATTGGTGAGAAATAGCACGGCAGACATTGTCGGCGCTCCTCGTCGTTGTCAGTCCCCTTTGGATCATAGCGGCTGTAAACCCATGCAGCAACTTGAAAGATGAATGTATTGATCGCCACTGGGACATGGTGAAATGTGCTGCATACGTAATGCAATCGTACTGGTGACATGGTGAGAGGGCGCACGGTGCACGGACCTGTTGTGGCGGACCTCCTTTCGAGTACAAAAGGGGCGCATCATTTTCTATCTTTTTTTTCATTTCTCTTTCCATTTCCATCTTCCATCCCCCACAAAACAACATCCTTACAACATGTCTACCAATTCCGTCCACGTCTCTTTCCAGAGGAGAGAAGTTATTGCTGGTACGTTTGGCCACTGTTTTGTCTGCTTCTATCTTGAGAGGATGCATAGCTGATTCGAGGAAACAGGGTTGCGCGACCTGGTGTTGCTGGTGGGTTTAGTCGCCTGGTGGCTCGGGATGAGTGAGCTTAAGAAGTGAGTCCATGGTGAGAGGGACTTTGCGCTCTGGGAGTGACTTCTCACTCAAGGTGGCTGACACTTTTCTCAGGTATCGGCCAATTGGCCTGATACTTCTACCATATGTCCTCATGCGGTGGAAGTGGTGCGCCACCCCATATGGTACACGGGTGTTCGGCGCTGTCTTTGCCACCGACGCTCCTCCTCCCACCGCCCGCCAAGCCCAGTCCCTCGCCGCCACTGTCCTACCCACCTTCGCTGTCTGGTGTTTGCTTCTGTGCTGTGAGGTGTTGGCAATAGTCAACGTGGTCCTGGTGCTCTGCCTCTTCAGAGTATGTCGTCGGGCGGGTGGTTTCATGGTGGTTATGGACTGAGTACTAACGACTCCACTTAGGATTTGCCTGTCGTCTCCGAGCTCCTCTCGGAGCTGTTCGAGGGAGTTTGAGCGCCGGGGTGAAGCTTGGGGATGAAGGGAGGGCGAAGGAGCTGGAGAGGAGTTGGGAGGGAGGGGAAAGGCGCCGGGAAGGGGGTGGGAGGGAGGTGAAGAGAGGTGGGCGAAGAAAGTGGCCGGGGTGAGGGAAGGGACGGCAGGATGCTTGTATATAATAAACCCTTGTATGCAGTAAACACGTAAGACAGGCAAAGACAAGATCAGAGTCACGCTGCTGAAGTATTTCTCGAAAGCTCACTGCAAATCAAGACCAGCCGACTGAATGACACGACTCGTGTTTGTTGTTGAAGGCGTGGGTCATTGTGTCCGCGATGGCATCCCAATTTTGGGGTACGTGGTGTACGGCTTCCCAGTCGAAGATAATCTTCATTGCAGGGCTAACAAGTCGGATAAGTATACCACTATCTCTCTTCCACAACGGGCTTTACCACGCTGATCACATTGGAACTGTAGATTGCAGCTCAGTACCTCAGCGCCAGCAATAATGTAAGAAGGCAACGACTGACTCGTACGATGAAGTCATCCATGTCCTCGTAGAAATAGCCGTAAGGGCCAAGGGCGGCATATGTACAGTGGACTTTGATGCATCTCATGAGGGTCGCGCCGTTTGTGGCGGTCGCCCAGGCTTCACATAGGTGCAGTCGCGGAATCTGCAAGTATTGGTCAGCGTTGGGAGAGGTCGTAAGACACAGGAAAGATGCTTTAACTTACGGATGATTCCCAAGGCATCGGCGACTTGGAATCCAAGGAATAAAGCGGCTATAGGCGATTGTTGGGTATGTAGCGGTAAGATATGAAGGGCGAGTGCTTATTGCTGATGCTGGAGTTGAAGGTTTGGCCCCAGAGGCCTGATTTGGGCTTGGTGATGGTTGTGAGTGTGAATCTGCGAGGTTCGTAGGTGGGAGGAATGGGGTGGGTGGACATGGTGATGTTTGTATCGTATGAGGAAAGTTTGGTAAGGAGGTTTTGCGGTAGGGACGCTGGAGAGCGGGAAGAATTGAAATGATTTGGTAGTGATGCTGAAAGATTGTTCTTTGCCGGGAACCAAATCGTATGCACTCGTACCGTACTCGTACTGTTCATACCGTACAGCTCTTGGTGAGACGATTAGTAAGGAAAGGTAACTGGGGACTGTGAGATGAGGCGGTGCATCTAGTTTGCAAGTTTGCTGGCGGTTGGCTGTCATACAACAAATTACAACGTCAACGCGCGAGTCGTCTTGTTGATGTTGTTGGGTCATCATCATTGACTTTCTTGGATGAGAGTAACAACACCTTGCTACACTGTGTACGTGCTGAGCCTCGTCCGATAAACAAGTACTGGACAGGACATACACAAGGTATCCCAAAAGTAGAGCGCTGCTATAATTCGACTTGTCGTTCTTCCTCATCAGGTGAGATGATCGACCTCCTTCAAAGCTCGAGGCCACGCCACGGCGTCGGCGGTCCCGCGTTCTTGCATTGATCTGCTGACTTTGTAGCTAGCAAAGTCAGCAGGTATACTACCAAAGTCAGCAGGTGCATGCGAGGCCGACCTCGCTAATAAAGCTGCAATATCCTTCGCCAATCGATTCAACATGTAAGCCGCTTACAGACAATGATGGGAGTTGGAGTACAAGCACCCGTCTTAGGGAAGGGATTCCCGAAGAAGAGCAGAACGGCGATTGGGAGCTCTAAACACGGTCAAAGGCTCGGCGGCGGAACCAAACAATGAGATCGGGATCAATCCGAGTGATTGCGCCCTTCCCCACTTTGATACAGCGTGCAATTTGTATCTCCATTTCTCATCCTCCTTTATATAATCTATCATCCAACCCTCATACTCCGCCTCCCTCCATACTCTCCATACCTCGCCCTTTGCCCTCAGCCCCCCCTCGGCTCCCCCTCGCCCCTCCCTCCTCGGCCCCTCCTCCCCGGCCTCAAAGAGGCGCCCCCGCCGCACGGTACGTGTCAGCTTATTCCTTGTTCTGTAGATTCTGGGGTTGTGGGGGTCGGTACTGGCTATATCCCTCTGGCACGCAGGTCGCTAGGGGGCAGGCTGCTTGTCCGTCGAATTCTGACTGTTGTTCGAGCGGTGATCGCTCCAATCTTGACAAGACTTGTTTGGCGCGCGCACGCTTTGTGACGTTGCTGGACCTATTGTGAGGATGACGAGATTCAAAGACTTCTTCGTGGTCACGTCCTGTACTCTTATGTTGTGCACTGTCTGGCTTTACTCGCGCAGGATGCACGGCTGACGCAAGACAACAGATCCCTTGCCCCAACCCCAACCCCGACCTCGAGGCCAACGACCCCGTCAGTGACGGTGGCGGAGAGAGCATTGGGCGGCATGGCATCCGCATGCTGCTTGGTTGGGTGCTGCCCCTCCTCCCACCGCCCACAGAGCACAGTCCCTCGCCCCTCCGGCCATCGACGCCCCCCCCCCGAACGCTGGCCCCGCCCAAGTGCCGCCTGAGGTCCAGGCCCAGCTGGACAGAATGGAAGCCCTGCTCACCTCCCAAGCGGAGGCTTCCACTGTCCTACCCTCCTTAGCTCTGTGGTGTTGTCTTATGTGCTGTGAGAGGCTGGCAAACGTCAACCTAGGCCTGGTGCTCTTCCTCCTCAAAGTATGTCGTTGGGCGGGTGGATGGTTTCATGATGGTTATGGACTGAGTACTAACGACTCCACTTAGGATTTGCCTGTCGTCTCGGACCTCGTTTCACAGGTGATCGGGAGAGTTTGAGCGCCAGGGTGGAGCTTGGGGGTGAAGGGAGGGCGAAGGAGCTGGAGAGGAGTTGGGAGGGAGGGGGATGTCACGACCTAGGTGGAACTGGAAAGAGTAGAACAATAAGATATGAATTGAGTATGTACACCGAGCGTCCTTCGATCATCCACACAACTCACCTCAATGATTTACGAAGTGTGGCAGTGGGAGGGAGGTGTAAGGACGAAGGAGCCGGGAAGGGGGTGGGAGGGAGGTGAAGGGAAGCGGGTAACAAAAGTGGCCGGGGTGAGGGAAGGGACTGCAGGATTCATGTATATAATGCACTCTTGTATGCAGTAAACACTCGAGACAGGCAAAGACAAGATCAGAGTCACGCTCATCGAACTGTGGCTTCATGAGGCGCCAGTGGTAAGCCGCTTACAGACAGTGATAGGAGTTGGAGTCAAAGCATCCGTCCGAGGGAAGAGATCTCCGAAGAAGAGTAGAACGGCGATTGGGGGCTCTAAACACGGTTCAAAGGCTCGGCGGTGGAACCAAACAACGAGACTACGGCAAGGTCATTAGAGTGAGTCGAAGTGCCTTTGAGCGAGTTGTTAATACTCCTAACTCCGCTTGCTGTGTAGTGCTAGGTTATGTAACTGTATATCTTATGAGAAGGGGTCGGGATGACAACGCTGCTTCCTCACTGGGGTTGCCACAAGTTATACAGCAATACCCTAAGGAAAAGGATAGAAAGCTAAACGCTTGGCCGACTGTGTTTTCTTCGAAGGTACCGGGCGAAGAGCCTTACTATGGATGGGTGGACTTATCCGGTGTCACTAGCCGAGTACCTAAGAGTGAATACGAGAAGTAGGATGATGGTAGAGCGTCTCATTAGAATAACAACATGTCGTGATTGTGGGATGGGATGGTAGCTCTGCACTACTGCTATGGTGATATGGATCGCCGGCTCTACTGGCGTCGTGGACCCTTCTTTGCACACTGGAGCTCCCCCCACTTTGAAAAAAGTATATACTACTGAATCGCCCTAGAACAGCTACCTGACAGCACATTGCTACCGGACCGAAAGTCACCCTCTCTTTTGTTGCGTTTCAATAGCTGCGACATAAGATGTAGAAATAAAGGCACCGTGCGGTGGGGATGCTTGAAAGGATTTCAAGGCAGTTTTGGGTATTGGATGAGGTTTGTTGATTGATGAAAATCAGAGAACTATGGAATCGAAAATAAGCGTGGGTCGAAAACCAATTGGTGGCTTAAACTAGATAGATAGATAGATAGATAGATAGAAGCGGTAAACAAGAGAAAACTAGGGAGAACGGGAAAGAAAGCCTCTATCGGTGCACATAGCCCTGATAGACCACGAAGACGGGCCTTTGGCAATGAGAGGTGTGGCAGCTTATGGAGTGTGGCGGCAGGCTTGCTACACCTTATCATTATTGAGTCTCTTGGATGAGAGTAACAGCACCTTGCTACACTATGTAGTGCTAAGCCTCGTCCGATAAATAAGTACTGGACAGGACATGGACAATGTATCCCAAAAGTAGGGCGCTGCTATCATTCGACTTGTCGTTCATACTCATCAGGTGATATGATCGACCTCGTTCAGAGCTCGAGGCCACGCCACGGCGTCGGCGGTCCCGCGTTCTTGCATCGATCTGCTGACTTTGTAGCTAGGAAAGTCAGCAGGTATACTACCAACGTTAGCAGGTGCATGCGAGGCCGCCCTGGCTGATGAAGCTGCAATATTCTTCGCCAATCGATTCAACATCATCAGCAGCATGTTTTTACCGTCATCGCTCGTCGCGTCGCAGGGGCTGCGCTTCTTCTTGTTCTCCTTCTTCTACATGAGGTCTGATAGTCTTCTCGAAGAAAATGAGATGCTCGATTGAAGATGTGGGAGAGAAATGCGCCACTCTACTACATTTTGCCGGGTATATAAAGATATCATGCAGGAAGATTGTAAGACGAACGGCCAGCTTATCGCAAGAAACACCCTCAGATACGACAACCACTACAACCAAAGACCTTGATCTCACAATCGCAAAATGGCAGGCTACACGTACCGTGTCAACGACTACCAAATCGCCCGGTACATAACATTCTTCTTCTTCACAACCCCACCCTTTGATTGAGCTCGGCTTACGCTAGTGTGGCACAGTGTGCCGGGGAGTATCATCCAAAAAGAAATCAAATATAAAAAGGCCGAGCCACCTACCAAACATGTCTGCAACGGTACAGGCTGTATGACGTTTATTCCGTTGAATGAGTCGACTTGTAAAGGCTGTCTTGAGTGAGTGATACTACTGTTCTTTCTTCTCGGACGGCGGGAGTCTGTTTTGACAATGCATCTACGACAGGAAGATGAAGGCCTGATGGAGCAGACGGGGAGAGTAAGAAACGACGGATGGAACAGAGGCGTGACCTGTAGATGGTGCTGGAACGGAAGATGTAGGATTTCAGTGATGTACAAGTGATTTGTCGGCAGCTCATATTGTGTTTCGACTGCACTGTCTGTGACTACCAGCCATCGCACCATCATCTCACCCAGCGCGGAGTCCTCTGAACGCCGCCACCGACACGGTTGAAGTTCATGACCCATGAGATCGCTGTGTGTATATACTTTACATACTCGTTCATGCGTGCTGGCGGCCAACATGCAGCCGACTGGGCTGCGGTGATCATGATTGAAGGGACATAATACATATATATGACGCCACAGACCTCGTGCTTACGCCCTCAACTGTTTTGTATCAATGTAGATCGACTGCGACGATTTCAGTGTAGCATCAATGAGCCATACCGGCACATGCCAGTCGACAGGGCGTGCATACGATGCGGCAGGCAGCATCTCTCAACCTGATAATACAATCTTAATTACACCCGTAAGTATCCACATTTACGTAAGGTGTGACGCGGTTGCTTTTGAACAAAACAAACATGACTTTGATTTCTTTTCCGTCCATCTCTCTCCTCAAATCGTCCGCCATGCTGTCAGAAAACAGCAGCAACCTCCCCGCCGACACGTCAAACCCCTTCATGTCAAAATCCCCCCTCTCGCCCCCCAAGTCCCGCGTTTCCCCCGACTCGTCCCTCGCTTCCCTCCGCCAAGGCATGGGCCGTATGGATATCTCATCCAAAGGCTCTTCCGTCCCCTACATGACAGAGACCCGCGAGCGTAAAGAATCGAAAGACACCACCCGGCGCGAACTCGACCGTTTCGTCCCTTCCCGCCCCGCCTCCCTCGCGCACAGCTCGCACTCCGGATCTGCGATGCCGACGCTGGCTATGGACGCTGCGACGCCGGACGGGTCGATGGATACCAGCTTGTCGGGGGCGCATGACCAGTCGACGTCGAGTTTGCAAGCGAGCTTGGGGATCAACAATGGTAATCGCCGTATCCTCTCTTTCCGCGCCCCTCCACCTCCCTCATCGCGCGCGACGTCCCACCTCGATGCCCAGCGAAACTACCTCCTCCAGTCTAACGCCTCCGCCAATAGAGGCGGCAGTACGGCGTCGGGGAAAGAGACGAAGAAGAGGGCCCCGCCGTATATGCCAGAGAGGGTACTGGATGCGCCTGGGTTTCAGGATGATTATTATCTGAATTTGATTGATTGGAGTTGTGCGAATAGGGTGGCTATTGGGTTGGGAGACTTGGGGTATGTTTGGGATGCGGAGACGGGGGATGTGAGTGCTTTGGGGAGCGGTGTGGCCGATGAGTACGATTTCATGTCTGTGATGTTGATCATGCTGACTTTCGTCGTAGAGAGGAACCCAACCCCGTCACGGCTGTCTCCTGGTCCAACGACGGCGCCTACCTTGCCCTCGGTCTCGACTCTGGCGAAATCCAAATCTGGGACGTCGAAGAGAACAAAAAGATGCGCACGATGAAGGGCCATCAAGCGCGTATCCCCACACTCGATTGGCACGGGCACGTCCTCACTTCTGGTTGTCGAGACGGAAGTATCTATCACCATGATGTGAGAGTCGCAAAGCACAAGGTGCAGGAGCTGGTGGGGCATAATGCGGAGGTTTGTGGGTTGGCTTGGAGGCCGGATGGACAGTTTTTGGCGAGTGGTGGGAATGATAATGTCGTCAACTGCTGGGAGTGAGTTGCTTCCCATCTCTAAACCTGCAAGGCTGACTGGTCTGTAGCGGTCGAATCGGCGCGTCTGTGCTGCAGACGGACGAGGGCACCCCCCGCGGCGTCGCCAAATGGACCAAACGCAACCACACCGCCGCCGTCAAAGCCATCGCCTGGTGCCCCTGGCAATCCTCCCTCCTCGCCACCGGCGGCGGCACCGCCGACAAACACGTTCACTTCTGGTCCACCTCCACCGGCGCGCGTACCGCCTCCCTCTCCACCTCCACCCAAGTCACCTCGTTAACCTTTTCGCCGCATAGCAAAGAGATACTGGGGACGCATGGGTATCCGGATAACACGCTGACGCTGTGGAGCTATCCGGGGTTGGAAAAGGTGTGGGAGGTGCCGGCGCATGATTCGAGGATTATCAGTTCGGCGCTGAGCCCGGATGGGACGACGCTTTGTACGGGGGCGGGGGATGAGAATCTCAAGTTTTGGAAGGTGTGGGAGCCGAAGGCGGTGAAGAAGGATAGGGATGAGGGGGAGAGTGGGGGCGGGAGGGGTAAGACGGCTGTGAGGATTAGATAGGGGAATGGGGAGTGAACGTTTATAGCCTAGTCTCTTTTATACGAATGTCCATCACGCAGCTTGTCATGTATATCATTAATGAACCTGGCATGGGAATATGGACATCGGGCAGAGATATGATGGGTGATCTATGTATGCGCCCTGATCGCCCGTCGCCGCGTCGGGTTGTTACATATAAAAGACGGATTTCCAGGATGAGCCCCTCCTTGCCCCTGTCGACGACCAGCAGGGGCCATAGCATGGCGCACAATGCTGTCTCTCCTAGTGGGAAACCTTCATCATAAAAGGCAAGGTGTGAATGTGAGTGAACCAGCGTGAAGTGGGCAGAGAAAGTTGTGTGTGAGGAGATGGCGTTAGTGAGAGGGATGACTGGTCGGAGGGCGATATTGGGTTATTGAGAGTACATAGATGCGGATGTAGGCTTTGACATGTTGCTTTGCTAACGGGTTGGAGGGATCTATATATCTGTTGCTTAGGTGTGGGAGATAGCCATAAGGAGTTGGATAAGGAGCTGTCATGTTTAGGATAGACGAAAGAACTTAACTCAACACCAAACGACATGTGCGTCAGGACAGTACGAGTATACGTACAGCCGCCGAGGGCTGATCAGTCTTGTCAAGCTATACCGTTCAACGATTGATAAAGACTCCATTGTCATAGGACGATACATGATGGTGTACACAATTGAGCTACATGAATGGAAACCGACACCTTTTACAACAGTTTCAATCTCTCGACGCGTTCCGACGGCGACACTACGTACCTCGTCCGCTCTAACCCCATCACTCCACCACAATCCCCCTACTCAACAACATAGCAAACAAATCATCCCCCGCCCCTCCTCCCGAAACGAACCTCGGCACCCTACTATTTCGCTCCACAATCTCATCCCCTCTATTCGACCTGTTGAACGAAGGCTGCGGATGAGGGCGGTGATGGAGGGGAGAGAAGAGTTTGATGGTGGAGTCTATGCCGGAGGAGGCGATGAGGGGGAGGGTGGGGTGTTGTTCGATCACTAGGGGGGTGGGTCAGTATGATGGAGAGGGGGAGGGGGAGGGACGTACTGTTGACGATGGCGCCGTCGCCTTCCCAGACACCTTCCAGTCTGCCGGTGTCTTTGTCCCAGACCATGAAATGCCCATCATCCGAGCCGGACGCGATCTTGTCACTCCTCACTCCCAAAAAGTTGCCTATACGATACCATTAGATCACCCTCCTAAGAGATCTTGTGGGAGGTGAAACTTACAGTCCTTGACAGTTTCAGTGTTCAACGCCCCAAAGAACGACCTCACAGGATGCACGACATCAACAGAATCATACTTGTCTTTCGCCGCCGTACTCGCATGCGCGCCAAAGGGGAAGCCAAAAATGGGCGATCCAAAAAAGTCTTCGTCTTCTTCATCAGCGTCGAAATAGGCGTCTTCGTCAAACATGTCGAAATCGTCATCGTCGTCGAGGGATGAATAGTCGTCTTCGTCCGAGTCGTCGTGGCCTGGGCCGGCGACGGGGCGTTGGAGAAAGTCGTCGGCGAGGTTGTGGAGGTGGGATGAATTGGCTTTCGGAAGGTTGATCAGTTTGGTTTTTTTTGCTAGCGAGTAGATGAGAAGCTCACGATTACTTGACTCCTCGTCACCCTCCCTATAAAATACCTCACCCCCGATCAAATTGCCATTATCATCAAAAGTGTCCACACTGAAATAATTGCGCTGATCACGCTCCTCTGCCATGATAGCAGCTTCCTCCATCACCCCTTCATAGAAATCCTGCAACCCCGGCGACATTGGCTCCATGTCGAATTCTTCGTCGGGTTGGGGCTCGCCTGGTGGCAAGGGCAAAACACGCAAGTCGCGTATTTCCTCGGCTGAGAGGGGTTCTTCGTTTCTGGTGGTGGATGCTGGAGCGGGGCGAGAAGAGGATTCGGGGTTGGCTGAAAGGTTGATCAGTTTGGGTTTTTTTTGCTAGCGAGTAGATGAGAAGCTCACGATTACTTGACTCCTCGTCACCCTCCCTATAAAATACCTCACCCCCGATCAAATTGCCATTATCATCAAAAGTGTCCACACTGACATAATTGCGCTGATCACGCTCCTCTGCCATGTTAGCAGCTTCCTCCATCACCCCTTCATAGAAATCCTGCAACCCCGGCGACATTGGCTCCATGTCTAATTCTTCTTCGGGTTGGGGCTCGCCTGGTGGCAAGGGCAAAACACGCAAGTCGCGTATTTCCTCGGCTGAGAGGGGTTCTTCGTTTCTGGTGGTGGATGCTGGAGCGGGGCGAGAATAGGATCCGGGGTTGGCTGAAGGTGGGGGTGGAGAGAGGGAGCGAGAGCTTGTGGGTCGTTTTCCGAGAACAGATTTGTCCGCATTGTTCTTTGTTCGCTTGGCGTTCTCATTCGGGGATAGTATGGGAGAAGAATTCGGTGATTTGGCGGAAGACGAGTAGGGAGAATCGTACGTTGAGAAGAGAGAGGTTGAGTGTTTCATGAATGCTACCGCGACCTGTCGACTTGTCAGCTCGAATCCCGCTTCCGATTGCACGATTGGAAGGCATACCTCATCGCCTCGCTCTCCACTCATCCTGACACTACTGATATGCCGATCGCCTCCGAATCTTCGACGGCCTGGCAGGACGCGCTCCCATTCTTCATTTGGAAGCCCGAGTCGGCGGACGCAGTGGACTTGACCGTCGGATCTGGTATTCGGGCCCCAAGAGGATGATGAAGAGGAGGGAGTCATACGACGGTCGCACACCAAAGCCTGTCACTTTATCAGCCCTCGTACCAGCAAGAGGAATGTGCACGCACATGCTCGGCAGTCCCCGCGACGGTAAACATCCAAGGCATCACAGGGCTCACGCTCAGGCTATACAGATCCACCCCTTTTGGCGCGTTGAACAAGACTTCGGGGCAAAATCCTGCAGAGCAAGAGTGGGGGAGGCGGAGATCGTGTTGTCGGACGGTGCCGTCTTCGGAGACGGTAAGGAAGAGGGAGGGCGAATTTTCGGTGGCGATGCGCTTGACGCGAGACTTGTGGCACTGGAGGGTACGGACACTGTAAGAATGTATAGTCAGTTTCGGTTCACTGGCACTTAACGGTCATGAGAGGCAGCTATCGCATTCTGACTGGGGACACGCCCAAAAGAATCAGACTCACCCTGCCGCGCCAGCACCAGTCCCATCCAGCACATCCCAGCTCTCCCCATTCTCTGAAGTCTCCTCACTCCGCCCCAGTCGTTCCACATCAAACACTCTTATATCTCTATCCCCAGCCACGCTGACAATGGTTGGTGTATTTGCGTGCGGCAAGAATTTGGCAGAGAAGATGTTGTTGCGGTGGCCAGTCTTGATCATCGTGGACAGCTTGAGGGGGTGGGGAGATATGGTATTGGGTAGAGGGGAGGCATCCGGTTGCCATATACATAGCCTAGAAATATGATCAGCCTTGAATACCGGTATGCACGTTGGACATGCCACGTACCGCCTGTCATCCGACCCCGACAACAAAGTCTGACCATCTTCGCTCCAACTGAGCGCGTTTACACATCTATTATGAGTCAGTCACAGTCCTCGTAGAAAAGGAGGAGCAGGTCTCACCCAGTATGCCCCCCACCATCCGTTCCTCCTAAGACTTGTACCCTATCCAGAGTCTCCCACATGGACTGATCCGTGCCGTGCCCATCGAGACCCGGGCGGGTGGGCCGGAATTGACGAGAGAGAGGCTTCAGAGTGTGGCGGGGCATGATAGTTGAGGGCTGTACTGAATGATCTGTGAAAAGTCAGAAAATGACAGAAAAGTCTTAATGAAAGAGATGATGCGCGCAAATGACGGAGAGTGGCGCCTCGGCGGCCGCCAGGGTTGCGCGCATGTCCTCTTTCATTCAGTCGTGACTAATTTGTACGTTAATGATTCGAAACTTTTCTTGTCTGGGATGAGTCATACCGGTTAACTATGCAGATAGGAGCCGTAACTTCATGCATTCCCGTTTATCTACTCAAGACAACAAGTCAGGATGCTACATTTCAAGTGCTGTAAACGCCCTCGCGTTTGCCCGATGGTAAGCTATTTGGATACTGTCCCACCAGGAAGACAATAGCAGGTCCCTAGAGGCTCTAGTATCATAGGGGAAGCACGCGGTAGGTTTGAGGTGAATCAGAGCAGTAGTAGTGTCGCGGTGGACGCTAATGGATGGCTCGGCTGATACAGTGATTTTTACATGAGACAGCTTATAGCTAGCGCAGTATTGATCATGGTCTTGACTAGTCTACACGCCACCAATGTCCGACTGCCGATAGCAAGCTGCTGCTACAAGAAGACGTTTGGATGTCGCTCAACACTCTCTTCTCACTTCACTTGGCGTTAGCTGCCGCTTGCTCTGCCTCTTGCTCTGCAGCTACTCTCGCCTCTTCTTTCCTACAAAGATTTGAGCACTGGACTATGGGCAATGGTAGGTACCGCCATGACGTACGTCTTACAGCTCGGGCACATGGTAGAGCCCTTGTCATCGAAGCGATTGATGCAGCCTTTCATGCTACATATCTTACCCGGTGGAGTCGGAGCTCTCGTGTAGTGAATGGTGGGGAGGATATGGGGATGGCTGTGCGAGTGCGTAAGAAACTCGAGCGGCAAAGAGGACAATGAAAATGGCTCGTACCGGACAATTTGATCGTAAGACATTGTTGTTGGGTGGATGGATCTTGTTTGAGGCGTGTTCTGTGTCACTTGGAAGGCTCATGAGGTTTATATATGCAAATTACATGGAAATGATCTGCTGAGATATGTAGCTGCACGCCTCTCGCCACCGAAAACGCCGCGAGAAGACCATCGCTCGAGGGAAGACGCGGTCGAACGGATCGTCGTGTCAGGCGCGTATCAATGAACCTCGCCTTGTGATTGTCGATGATAGTAGTAACCTATATACATGAAGTCAATCAATCTGGTATTGGCCCTATTTTGCGGGGCGCGCCAACCGGCATACCTCTTCTTGCAATCTATTGCTTTGACTTCTTCTTCTTCTTACTTGAAGACTTCTTTTTCGACTTTTTCGCATCCCCTTCCGTATCTTCTCTCTCCGCCCACGGCCACCACCCCCAAGCAGTCTGCGCTACCCGGCTCACTATTCCAGCATGCTCCTCTTTCACCACGACCTCCAGCTCCTGATCCACTCCATCTTGTACTCGGCGAAGAAAGCCATCGTATTCTACGGCCAAAAACCATAGCACCGACATTACGAACGCGACTGTCCCTCTACAACCCACCCGCTAGTCAGCGCTCGCTTTTTCGGAATGGAAGGAAGGAAGAAATGTGAAGACGTACAGCCAAAAAGCAGGCTGCCTACTGACCGTCTTGACATTCTCTGTCAGCTCCAGCTTATGACCGACGGATATGTCCGAGATCATCACTATACAAGGGAACAAGGGGCCGAAGAGGGGAAGGACGGTTCCGTAGCGTTTGGTTGTAGGGGACGCGGGGAAGAGAAAGAGAACATGCGCCGCTAGGGCGTTCAGGAAGAAGATTGCAGATGCTATGGGGAGTGTACTCAGTCGCTCGCCCGGCGGGACGGGGCGGACTTACACGCGAGATGAAAGATCAACAGACTGTGTATACTACCCCAATGTGCCGGGCTTGTCGTCTCTCCCGTACACCTAATCAAGCAACCCATCAGCTCTCCCTTCCATCGTTTCCATCGACACGCTGTACGAGTACTTACTCCTGACCAACCTCACAACTCCCCAACCCTCCAACCTCCCAAACCTCCCCACCGCCTTGCTCCCCACCCGCCTCCGTCTCCCCCCAATACTGGACCCTTAAAAAGTAGAATCCTACTCTGGTACCGGTGACGCCAGAGAGGACGAGGAAGAAGGCTGTAAGTAGGGCGAAGAAGGGCGGGAGGAGGTGGATGATGCGGAGGGTGCATGGATGTGGGAGGGTGCGGAGTGAGAACATTGCATTGCTGACTTGGATGGTTGTAGTATGCTGTAGTGATGCAGGATATGTGTCATGATACTTGTTTTTAGATGAGATCACATATGAAGGGATGCCGCTTGAAAGGATAGGGGACACACTGGCAAAGGTTGATGTTTGAATCTCGGCACGCCGAGCGCATCTCCTCCTTCATCGCGTTTCAATGCCGAGCGCGCAAGAAGTAGAATGACACGGATGCATTTGTTTTGTTGACAACGAGGTGTTCCCCTAGTTATAAAGAGAGAGAGAGAAGTCATACCGTTCTTACCCCCATCCCCATCGTACCATCATACCAGCGTACCATCTTCGTAAAGCAGCACATTTACCCCAAACGTCCAAGACCGTCGTCAGCACCCAAGCTCGCTCCCCCCTCGCCCAAACCAGAAAACAACGGATAGATTACAGAGGAAAAGAAGAGGAGTTTGTTTAAACAAAAGTGACAAGTATACTTTATAGATTGACAAAATGCGAAAGGGAAAGATCAAATGGCCGATCAACCCAGGAAATCGTTACAAGCTTTTTTGTTGACGGGGGTAAATACCGGAGAATGAAAAGAAGAAACAAAAGTATGCTGGATATTTTGGTTTTGATGATGGGTAGGCGGGGAGAAGGGTAAAAAATGAATATTGCTTTTGATTTGATTGTCGACATGATCGAAAAGATGCCGGATGACGAAAAAAGATCCGCCGCTCTCTCCCTCACCCCCGCGCCCCCGCGCCCCCTTGCGGGCGCCTTGCCGACCCCTTTCCTCCCCCTCCAAACCTCCATCTTCTCTCGCCTCGCCCCTCGCCCCTCCCATACTGCAAGCTTCCAAGCTCTCCAGAAAAGAGAGCAGTCTACGCCTTCTCCCTCAACCACCCCACATACCGCCTCAAAAACTGCACCTGCTCATAACTCTCAATCGCCTTCAACCCCCGTCGACAGCGGATCATGGCGATGACGCGCTCGACGATGGACATGGTGATTTGGTGTTCGAGTTCGGCGGGGATTGTTGCGGCGGGGGCGGGGGCGGTGCTGGAGGAGGAGTTGGGGGTGTAGGAAGAGGAGGAGGTGGAGGTGGAGGAGGGGTTGAGGGCGGGGGCGGGGGCGGATCGAGCGGTGTGGGCAGCATGTCGCCTAGCAGCTTCCTCGACGATAGTCAAACTCGGATGAGGCTGTACGAAACCCATCTTGATTGCCCAAGCACAAGCCGTCATCCCAGCGCGTCCTATACCGCCTGTATTTGTCGAGTCGAAAATCCAGGTCGATCACAAGTAGCGATTGGGAATGAAGAGAAGAAAGAGGAGAGTGTCAATAAAGAGAAGAGATGATGGGAGAGGAGGGGAGGAGAGGGGGGACTAACCTCGACAGTGGACGAGCACGTTGATGCCTTGCAGAGTATATTTTTGGGCGATGAGAGCGACTTGCGAGTCGAACAATTCCATCGAAACCATCGTAAACCCATCCGGCATCGGTAACCTAAACGATCTTGTCAATACCCTGTCCACCTCACCCATCCCACCCGATCCCAGCCGGCAAAGATGGAAGGGGAGAAGAATAAAGACTCACCGAATAACATCCAACCCCGTCCCCACCGCCACATCCCTATACGTCTCCCACGGCACCCCCAACAAAGCCAACTCTTCATCATCCAAACAACAAACCAGCGCCCCCACCCCTTCGCCTTTGATCCGCCTCAGATCTGTCGCGAGATCACGGCAGACAGGGCCGCGGCCTTTGGAAGGGGCGTCCATGCGGAGACGTTTGCCGGGGCAGGATGAGAGGAGGAGGTTGCCGAGCGTTTGCGGTTTGGTTTGGGTTTGGGGTGAGGAGACGGAGGAGGAGGGGGAAGGGGAGGGAGGGGAGAGGTGGAGGTCTCTAAAGCTGGATTGGAGAGGCGAAGGGATAGGCGCCGATGCCGAGGGCGGCGCAAAGCCGAGAAGCAGGCTCGGCACATCGATTCTCGAACCCAACATCATCCTCTTCCCTTCTTCCACCTGCCCTACCACATTCCTCGACAAGATCTCGAGCAATTCAGAGGGAAAGAATGGGGAAACGATGATGGGGTGCGATTCGGACGTTTTGACGACCATGCCGAATACCGCGGCTGGAGTAGGGTTTTCCGCGTGGGCTTTGGACAAGTCGGGCACAGAAGCCGACATTCGCCCACCCTGCGCCGCCGCCGCCGCCGAAACAGACGCTTTCGCGCTCTCCGAGGGAGAGAGTATAACCCCATTATCGACAGCTTCTTCAACGACCATCTTGACGTCTTCTTCGTCCTCTTCCACCTTGCGCCGCTTTTCCTCTTCGCCCTGCTGCCCCTGCCCGACCATGGGGCGTTTGGCACCGCACGACTGAGCCCTTACGCGTGTGGGTTGGCGGGTTTGACGCTGCGGCAGGTGGAGGGAGCGGGAGTGGGCGTTGGAGAGGGGTTCGTCGAGTTGCATGGTCATGTCGGTTTCGTGAGGCAGGGAAGGGAGAGAAGCGTTCGAGTGGCGGCAGCATAAGAGCGAGCTTGCCATCGCTTCTCTCAGCTCTTCCGCCCTCTTCTTTTCATATTCTTCTTTACATTCCCTAGCCCCCTCGAACCGCGCAGCACTCCCAAACAGAACACTCCCCACAGGCGAACTCTCTGCAGAGCCAGAACCGGAAGGCTCGCTCACGGACGTATCCGTCTCGTCGTCCGACTCGTGCTCCCCCCGGTGGTGCTGGGGTTGGTGCTGACAAGAGAAGAAGGTGGACGAGGTCGTACAAAGCTGTTGTTCGAGCTCTGCTTGGCGCTGCATCACCATCGCGACGTAGTGCGGGTTGCAGAAACTCTGTGGTTGGTATGGGATGTTTGCTCCTAGTAACCTCATCAGCCATGTCCAACCCAACGAAGTGATGAAGGAGGAAGGAAAACTCACCTTTAGGGCCATGTTTCGTCATATTATACCCACTCTGCGGCCACTGGCTACACAGCCTCGCGCACTCGTGGATCCTGCGGTTCTCAGAGTCGATCCATTCGCGCTGCCTTTTGTCTTTTTCCTCCTCCTTCACGCCTGTGGACTGAGCTGCAGGATGAGCGGGCTGGGCGGAGGGCTGGGCGAGTTGGGAAGAAGGGGAAGGCAGTCGGAGCGGCAGAGTAGTAGTAAGGCTGGACGGCGTCGACGTGCCAGTCTGACTGCTCGACCGCCGGCCCGTAAACGATCCTCTCCTCTTCTCATCCCGAATAAACCCTCGGCCAGTGTTGACAACCCCCATCACCATCTTTCCTACCCAAGACGGTTTGCCTCCTTCCCCTCCGAGAAACATTTGGCCGAGGTCTTGGCCGCCGAGATACCCTGGAGAGAGGGCGGAATCAGAGTGGAGAGAGATATCGTCCGCGTCGATGATACAAGGTTCCGAATCGGAAGACACGGGTGTCAAGAGCGTAGAGGGTGTTTGGGAGATGATGCTCGCCATGGACGCGCTCGTCAATGGCGTCGACGAGCGGGAAAGCGAGTCGTTAGACGAGGGGATGGATGATTGTGAAGATTGGTTTGAAGAAGACGATGAAGCGATGGACTGTGGGCCATGGAGGTCTTCTTCCCTCCTTCCCTCTGCATCTCCAGCATCTCTTTCAGAAGAATCTTCGGGCGTCTTTCTGAATGTGCCAGATGGGAGGTTCTTGACCTTTCTCCGCGCGAAAGAATGCGGATGATGCCCGTGCCCGTGCCCGTGGCGGGCAAAGTGCGCAGAAGAGGTGGAGTGGGCATTGTGGCGCATAGAGGGGGTGGCCGTCTTTTGGGGAAAGTATGTTTGGGGAGGAGGGGTGGGGGCGGCGGTTCGAGACATTGTTAAGCGTCTTTTGGTGATTAGGGTTATTAGGAGGGGAGGGTGGCGAAGAAGTGCGGTTGGCTTTGGGTATTGGTAGGGAGAGGAGAGGCTACCGTTTTCTTCGCGCCTTTTGGGATTATGGGCTAGTCACGATGACTGCTTTTGAAACCTTGTCGCAGATGAAGAAGGAGGAAGGGGTCAGGTGGGAAGTGGCGACAAGGTGGATTATCCGCCGGCTTTAAAAAGCTGTATCAAAAGTGTTAGTGCTGATCCTTTCAAAGATGGCATGCGGGGTGGAGGCGTACCAGGTGGGAGGAATGTTCAAAGGAGAGGTCGGGTAAAAAGTCTTGAGCGGTGGCAAAAGACTCGGAAAGAGTGTAGAAGGCAGAGGTCTCGACAAAGACGAGTTGCTTTTTGGTCGTAGAGCTCAAGACACTTCTAAAGGAGCAGTAGGGGGACGTTGGCGAAGGACCGTTGACCGATTGACGACGTGATAGAAAGAACCGAGGTATAGCGCGCGTTTGTTGACACTTTTCAGGCGACCAGCGAGAAGCACAAAAAGACCGAAAGAGAACCCGAGAATCGTCCGTGTTTGTTTTCTGTTTTCAGGTGGGAAAGCAGAAAAGGAAATGGTAGAAGAGGGGTGGTTTTTTGGGTATTTTAGTGCTGGAGGACGAGCTGTTGCGCAACAGCGCTGGCGGTAATGGACATGGTAGCAATAATATGGGGGGGGTATGGCGGGCAAGGGGTGGCGAGGGTCCGTGCGTACCTGGGGTGGAGGTATGCGGGGGGTGTTTTGGAAAGAAGGGGATTATACGGGGGGGACGGCTGGGAAGCGTTGAGTGAAGGTGGCAAATACAAAGTGGGGGGCACACCCACAGCCCACCCCAGAAACACCGTGATTGCGTCACCAGATGCCACACTCGGCATCCCGCCCAGACACAAAACGCCGCCCAAATCGCGAGTTACGTAACGACATTTTGCAGCGGCAGCCTGGCCTTGCACAACTTTTCGCCCGTGTCGATTTGTCTCTTGTCATCCGCTTCACTGGCTTTTCCTTGGTGCGTCCCCCACGAAAGCGACGAAAGTGCACAGCAGTCAAGCTAACACTACGCCAGATTGACTACTAGTCTCGAGGATCTTTTTTCAAGTTTGCAAGCCCCCAAACCCGCCAAAACACAACCACAACCCGTAAAAATGTCTGCCGACAAGCTCCCCAAGTCCCTCCAGGCCACCGAGGAGGACATTCAGTTGCTCTTGAGTGCTCAGTCGCACTTGGGTACTAAGAACTGTGACAAGACTATGGAGCCGTATGTGTGGAAGAGGAGGGCTGATGGTGAGTTTTTTTGCTTTTGGGAAGGGGGCGGGACGGGGGCCGAGCGAGCGCAGCGAGCGAGTACATGTTGGGGTGGGTGGGCGGCACAGCGACCAACGGGAGCGTACTCTCGGAGCGAAGCGACAATTTTTCGTCGGCGAGCGGAGCGAGCCGCTCTCTTTTCTCTGGGAAGGGGGTGGGACGGGGGCCGAGCGAGCAAAGCGAGCGAGCTAGTGTTGCCCGAGCGACCATCGGGAGCGTACTCTTGTTGGGGTGGGCGGGCGGGGGAGGCGGAGGCGCAAACTAGAAACACCCACTCTTAGACCTTCTGCTAACGTCACCCAGGTATCCACGTCCTCAACGTCGGCAAGACCTGGGAGAAGCTCGTGCTCGCTGCCCGAATCCTCGCCACCATCGACAACCCCAACGACGTCTGTGTCATCTCTAGCCGACCCTACGGCCACCGAGCTGTGCTCAAGTACGCCTCCTTTACTGGCGCGCAGGCTATTGCTGGCCGATTCACCCCTGGTTCTTTCACCAACTACATTACTCGATCTTTCAAGGAGCCCCGAGTGATTATCGTGACCGACCCCAGGGTTGACCACCAGGCTATCCGAGAGGCTGCCTATGTCAACATCCCGTATGTCCCACTCTTTTCCCGACTGAACCCAGCTAACACTTTCCAGCGTCATTGCCTTTGCCGACACTGACGCCTCCCTCAAGTTTGTCGACGTCGCCATCCCCGCCAACAACAAGTCCCGCCACTCTGTCGGTCTCCTCTGGTACCTCCTCTGCCGAGAGACCCTCCGTCTCCGGGGTACCATCCCCCGAGGCCCCACCGGCCCCGACGGCTGGGACGTTCTCCCCGACTTGTTCTTCTACCGCGACCCCGAGGAGATCAAGCGTGAGGAGGAGGAGAAGGCCGAGGCTGCCGCTGCCCAGGCTGTCGAGGATGCCCCCGCCCCCCCTGTGGGCCAGGAGTGGTCTGCCGAGAATGTTGGTGAGGCTGCGCTCGCTGCTCAGCCCACTGACGCTACCCTCGACTGGTCTGCTGAGCCCACCTCTGGTGACTGGGCCGCCGAGCCCGCTGCCGAGCCCGCTTGGTAATTGTCTCGTCGTCGTTTGACATTTGGGAGGAAGAGCAGGAGCGAGTAAAAATTGTGGTTTAGGTGGTAGTAGGGGGTCAAGACGGATGGTGTTTTGCTAGGCTTCTGTTTAGTGGACATGTATACCGAATTGCATCTGCTAGAGTATAGACGCTGTACATGCTGCATAGAGGTTCACATGGCGTTGCTGAACCGTCGCTTAGTTGTGTACCCTTTCTGGCGTCCATGTCGGTACCGGCGATCCCCGACACACCTCCACCTCCACCCTCCGCTTACGAGATTGGCTTACGCCATGGTTCCCAGTCAATTCCCAGTGATGATGTGCTCGCCCTCCACTCAGTCTGCTGTATATAACCCCTCCCCTCATTCTACGTTCTATGCTCCGCACCCTCCTCCGCCCACTCCGAGCAACAACACCAAGACACATCTACCGCACCATGTCCTCCCTCCCTCCCGCCCAGCTGCCCGAGACCTGGGCCCTTGCCAAAGCCGCGCCCGCCGACGCCAAACTCCATCTCTACACCGTCGGCACGCCCAACGGGTACAAACCTTCCATCCTGCTCGAAGAGCTTGCTAGAGCGTACCCGGGCAACAAGGAGCTTGTGTATGATTTCCACGCGCTGAGGTTTGCAGAGACGGACCAGAAGAAGCCTGGATTTTTGGAGATCAACCCGAACGGCAGGATCCCGGCGCTGGTGGATGATAATGTCAAAGTTGGAGGGGAGGGGCACAAGGTGTTTGAGAGTGCCAGTATTTTGTTGTGGTTGGTGGAGAGGTATGATAAGGAGTACAAGTTTAGTTTTGAGGATCCGGTGGAGAGGAGTCGGGTGTTGAGCTGGATCTTTTTTGCGCATGGGGGTGAGTCTTGTTATCACATCTTTGGGGTAGAAGCTGATGGTGGGCAGGTGTTGGACCCATGCAAGGACAGGCGAACCATTTCTTGTACGTCGCATTTATCTCAAGACAGAGGGGAGGCTGACACCGACTATTAGCCGCTACGCCCCCGAAAAGATTCCCTACGGTATCAAGCGATACCAAGAAGAGACTGCGCGCCTCTACTCTGTTCTCGAGGGCCAGCTTGCAAAGAAAGAGTCTGGGGGGTGGCTTGTAGGCGGCAGGTATAGCATTGCTGATATCAACGGCAAGTCAATTCTTCTTTTGGCCGCAGGTCGTTAGGAGGGTGAAGCTGATGCATGCTAGTCTTCCCCTGGGTCCGCGTCCATGCTTGGGCTGGAGTTGACATTGAGCCCTTCCCGGCGGTCGCCAAATGGCTCGAGGCGATTGAGGCTCGTCCCGGTGTTTACGCCGGCTTGGGTGTGCCCACCAGGAGCGCGGTGAAGAGGACAAAGGAGGAGGAGGAAAAGCTCGCTGAGGAGGCCAAGAAATGGATCCACAAGAAGGACTAGATACGCACACTTTGTACATGGCAAGAATAAGGAAGAATGAATGAAACGATGGATGGAATACGTTCACGGAGCGTCGCCATCCCGGCCGCCGCCGCCCAGAGCCTGGAACTTTTGCTGCGTTTTCGAGGTCGTCAGTCACCAGCGGGCCACTTTAAAATCACCACAATTCCATCTCCTCTTTCTGTTTCCATCCCCCTCATCCCGCCATGTCCTCTCCACGCTCAATAACGATATCCTACTCCCTCACCCCGCCCGCCACCACCTCCCTCCCCCCCTCGTCCCCGACCGAGCCCCAGCCGGTACCGACGAGCAACACCCTCTCTTTCCCCATAGCTCCGCCCAGCCCGCTCAAAATCCCGTACATAAGCGCGACGACGAAATACTACACGAGCACTTCGGCGTCGTTGTTGTCGGCGCAGGCGGTGTTGAATGAGAAGCTGAGTTATTGGAAAGAGGCGATAGGCGATGGAGAGAAGGAGAAGGAGGCGGGGGAGGGGAAGGGGTATGGGAGGGGGAAGGCGATGATGATGAGTGCGGAGGTCAATGGGGAGATGGAGAGTAGTGGAAGTGGGAGTGAGGGGGAGTTATGACAGGGTTGGGAATGTTGTGGTGAGTTGGGCGTTTTTGGGATGGGAGCTTTGCGCTGATAGACAGATAGGTCTTGTATCTCCACCCGCACGATTGTTCGCCATACACGCCTACTATCTTTCTATTCATTTTCCCCCGTCACGATCCCATAAACAGAAAACAACTTGTTGTAATTCATATCAAAACACAAATATACACGCTCCAGCAAGGAGAGGAGAGCCAAGAAGTGGCGAGGGCGCGAGGCGGCGAGGGTCGGTCTTTCTAGAAGAATACATGCAGAGAAAAAAAAACTTGGTCATCGTTTCTACATCTTGCTTGGTGTGTTGTGCATATGGTGAGATGAAAGAATTGCGCAGAAGGCGATGCGCGGGGCGCAGGAGGACAGTTGAAAATATTCCACGCAGTGTACCGGTCTTTTGCGGGAGAAGAAGGGCGAGAAAGCGAGGAAGGACCCGTTGGCCCGTGGCCGGAAAACTGTCGATCTTGTGCATACCCTTGCGGACTTGCGGACTTGCGGACTTGCGGAGTGCGATTGCGCGAACGGAGTACGGATCAGGTCCCCCGGTACCCAGGGGGCTGCTTGAAAGAAGGTTGGAGGGAGGTGGTCTTTTGGGGAACGGGCAGAACCGGATCTTTGTCGTCGTACTGTACTTGTACTCACCATTCGTATGCCCGTGGCGCGGGTGGCGGCTGACTGGCAGTGGATGCATACCAACACGTACGTAGGAAAGAAGAGATGCGATCTGAAAGCCGAGACTTTGGACTTTGGGCTTTTGGGACGGGTGGCCTTAAGGTTGAGCTTTCCCCTCAATCGTACGTCTAGATCAGGGTTTGAAACACGGTTACCATAGAACGGCGAGCGCATGTGTCTTTGATTTTGTTCTCGGCGGATTGTCGGGGGATCGGTCCGGTTCGACTGTTTGTACTGTGGAAACAAGAGTTTCAAGAGATGGATATGGACAAGTGTATGATACACGGCTACGGAATGGTGTATACACTGCGCGTATTCTTTCATCCTCCCCTCTTTCCGCCCCTGTCGCCGCTGGCGGCTGGTGAAGGCTGCGATCGCTGAGCAGTCTGTAATGTGGTTCAGGTGTGCCGCATATGCACCGCGCAGCTGTAGAATACATGATTTGAAAGCGATGGAGATAAGCTTATCGGGATCATCATTCATACAGATCAATCTCTCAACGACATAACCTAGCACCCACCACCTCCCCCGCCTCCGCCGCTCATTCCTCCTCCACCGCTATATACGCCACCCCCGCTCGTCGACATGTGTGTTGCTGCCGTATGAGCGTCATGATGGGCATGGCCATGGCTGCGATGTGCATGACCGGCGCGGTGGTGGGGGGTGCTGCTCTTGTTTTTGCCCTAGAACACGGTCAGCATTAGCACGGCCAACGAGGATGGTGGAAAGAGAAGAGGGAGAGAGGACTTGCGGTGGTGGTACCGCCACTGCCGCCGAAACACCCTCCTCGAAGACGAAGAAGCTCTTCATCTTCATCAAGAGGACGGTCTCTCTGGCCAGTGGGAGCGTCGTTGGACGCTTGGGTGTTGTTGGCTTTGGCTGTGGAACTGGAAGTCTTCTTGGTGAAGATGTTGAAGAACATGGTGATGTTTGATTGATAGTCGGACAAGTCAAGATGTCGTCTGTCGCTGTGATGGTCATATCAGTCTCTTCAATACTTTTGCTTTATATATGGCTTTCGGAGCACATCATACATCTGATCGTGTATCGATAGCTGTCGTGGAGGACGGATGACCGAAACGCGGGCTGTGCTGGTATGCTGATGTAACTGTCACTGCTTCTGATCGATACATCGCGATACGTTCGACGTCACCACTCCTCATGCTTCTGGTAACTTCTTACAGCTTCCGGTCTGGTCCTCTTTGGACACAGCACCGCTCTATGCTGCTGATTCCCCGACCTCTATCGTAATACCCCTCAGCATTCAGTCAAGATGATCCGCGCCACGGCTTCGCGCTCGAGATGATGCAGTGGAGGAGATATGGAGGAAGGCGGTGTGGAGGAAGGAGAAGGATGGGGCGGAAGAAGAGACTTTAGACCTTAGGAAGGGGCGAGTTGGTAAGGGTATACATTCGACACTTCGGCACAGAGTTGGCATGGCGGCGCCATTTCTACCTTTCCGTCACCGTCCCCATTCTCTCCTCCACCCTTCTTTAGAGAGATCGTAGTCGATCAGCCTCAGCAGCATGTACATGCCACAGACTTTCCGTACCTGTACTACACATCATCTTTGCATTATCACGTAGCAATGGAATCGGGTGTAGCCCTTCTCAGTTTGCAAAACCTTCTCAGCACCCGCCCCCTCCGCCCCCTCCGCCACATCCACCTCCACCGCCACCACCACCACCACTACCACCCCCTCCTCCACCACAGCCACCCCCTCCCCCGCCCCCAGCTGTCCCTCCACATGCACTGGTTGCCCCACCACCGCTCATCACGACTCCAGCACCGGCTCCAGTAGTTCCGCCCTAAAACACACTCATCATTAGCACCGTGATCGTAGATGGAGGAAGAAGAGAGAGAGAGGGGGCTTACGGTTCCGCGGTTGCCGTCGAAATGTCCACCAAAACAGCCTCCCCGGAGACGAAGGAGCTGTTCATCTTCGTCGACCCGAGGGGCTTTCTGGCCAGTCGGCATGGCATAGGTCGCTTGGGAGCTGTTGGTTTTGCCCTTGGAGCTAAAATTATTGTTAAAGATGCGGAAGAAGAACATGGTGGTAGGTAATTGATAGTCGGACAAGTAAAGATCGTGTTGGGCAATTTCGTTGCTGGTGTTGCTCAATCCTCACACACTGTGATGCTTTATATATGGGTTCTGTGGCACAGCATATATATCTGATCGTGATTTAATACTGTAGGCTGCCGCTACTTTTGTCGATGACGGATGGCCGAAAGGCGGAATGTGCCGATCTGTCTCTGCTTCTCATCACAGCATTCATGTACTGGAGTGGGGGTACACCTTCCCCTCGTGTATGGGCACACTGCACGGAGTAGAGAATGAGAGACATGGCGAAACAAATCACGATCGGCGAAAGCAGTATACACGGCGACTCGATCAACATACATTCCACGTTTCACTGATGCTTCTGACGCTTCCTGTGATGTCCGAGCTCTCTTCCCGAGCTCCCCCCCTTTCCGATAAACCGGCGTTCAACACCACCCACAACCCCGATATCACAATTCTCCTATCGCTCATTGCCCGTCTCCCCTTGACCCCGCGCGCGCCTCTCAGACAAGATCATGCGCCCCACAGCTCCCCGAGACATGGCGGAGTGAAAGGAAGATGAGAAAAGACGCCTTGGATAATTACTGGCACAGGGGCTGGACGAAGGAGGGCGTATTGGTAGCGGGAGTCGAGTAGAAATATGGGGTGATAGATCTAAAACAGCGAATGGACTTGCTACCAAGATTCGTCAGGGACGTTCACCGCAGCGACGGAAACACTCACCACGTCTAGGCCTCATACTCGACTTCGTAATCCGGCTCTGCTTCTTCTCCAACCTCTTCCTTCTCCTGTAGCTTTCTCGATTCCTCCGGAAGCACGACGTCTCCATCTTCCCTCCCGTACCTGACGAGCGTATCGACCCAGCCCTTCTCCCAGCCCGCCATCTCCTGTCTCCGGATTTCCAACTCTTCTCCCAGCCCCAACTCTCTGATCAACCCAGCGTCTTCGGCGCGCAGCCAGAACGCCTGGTCGGCGGGTACAGCAGATGCTGCGAATGCTGATTTGACGATGAGGGGGGCGAATGTGCGATCGGTGAGGAGAAGGAGGCGAAGCATACGGTCGTACCATTCTGGCTCGACTTGGCGGTCGGCTAAAAGACTGTTCCAGCGTTTCCAGCCTTCGCCGAAACCGAGTCGATCGGGCCGCATAAGTAGAGTGTGGATGATTTCAAAGTGAAGGAACGTCGACATGGCAGAATAGCCACCGGGGAAACAGTCCATGGCGGCGTCGATGAAGGCTGATCGGGTAGTGTTGTCGACTTGGTCTGTCTTTGCTGCTGGGCGGAGGTAGCGAGTCCACATATCGTACTCTCTGATTCTCTTCCTTCCATACAGCTCTTCAGTACTCGCCCGCTGGAGAATGTACAGCCCCGCCTCGAGCTCCCTCGCGTTGGGCGTAGAGACATGCGTCCACTTTGTGAGCATGCCAGCGAGAACCTCGGTCCAGCGAACCATGGCGTTTGTTGGCATGTCGCGAGTGGGGAGGACGGAGAGAATGGCGTCGACAGTGGGTATGATGGGGAGGCCAGAGCTGATTTGGATAGAGAGGAGGGGGCCTAGGGTACGAGGTTCGATTGGGACTTTGTTCTCGGCAATGATGGCGAGGATATAGCGACAGTAGGTCATGGGCACTTTATCATCCCACTTCCACATTGCCAGAAACCGAATGAATTGACCGGTGGCTTCTGTAAAGTCGTGTTCGGCCACATTCTTGGACCATTCGTTGGGGCGGAAAGAGGAGGGGTTGTGGGGGAAGGCGGAGAAGACTTCGAGGGCGCGCGCCAGGTTTCTCCCCGCCATAAAGCTCTCGACAAACGCCGCCCTCGTCTTCGGTCCTATCTTGCCCAGATGTCCCGCCTTCGCAGCCTCATACAGGTTGTCCACCTCTCCCTCTAGCCTCCTCTCCTTTTTGATCAATACCGCAAGACTCTTCACCCGCCGACTAAACACTTGATCTTCCATATGCCATCCGTTGCTGGTCAGGCGGCGCCAGTACTCGTCCACCCAAGCTCGAGCCTTTGCTTGAATAGAGCGGGAGAGGCCGCGGCGGGAGGAAATGACAGACATGTGGACCATTGCTTGGGCGAGAAAGAAGGAATTGATACGGAGTTGGCGAGCGGGAAAGATGGTGTCCACCATTTCGGCTATGCGGTCGGGCTGGCTGTGCCATTCGAATGCTCTCATGAAAGCAACTGTAGATCATCAGTGATATACGAAGAGGGAGAAGTATATACGTACGCCATACAACCGGAGGAAGACTGATATCTCTCGCCAAACGCATATGCGAAGCAAAATCATCCAAGTCCCTCGTCATGATGAACGCCCCCTTGCCCTCCGTCGACTCCAACACCTTGTCGTACAGGCTGTATAGCCCGCTATATGACTTGGCATGCGAGTAGGCATCGATACGCTTGACAAAGACCGGGGGGTGGTAGCACTGTACAGCGAGGAGAAGGTTGTCGAGGTTGACACGGAATTTGTCGTAGAGCTTGTCGCCTTTGGAGATGCGTCGAAACATGCGGTAGATGGGGCCAAAGTTGTAGACGGACTGGGGACGGAGGTTGATATCGGCGTCAAGCATGGAATAGAGGGCTTCTTTGTCGCATTGATCGAGTAGGGTGAGGGCGGCGACGTTGGCGAGTGTTAGGGTACGCAAGCCGGGACCTTCCAGCCTCGCCGCCAATCTCTTCTGCCTATCCCAAGAGACCAAATCCTTCTCATCTTTCCCCTGCAGTAGCCTCATCTTTGCCTTCGTCTGGTCATAGGCGCGGGCGACATCGCCCGGCCGACCTCTCTCCATGGCGCGAAACATAAACATGGTAAGACCGCCGATATGGTGTCGGACGGCAGCTTCTATAGCCATATTGAGAAAGAGCCCATACTCTAGCGGTTGCTTGATTGCCATCCGACCCAGATCAGGGGCAGTCCGGCGAGTCAAGACTTTGCTGATCGTTTGCGCGATTTGGCGAAAGTGGGCATCTTTGAGGCGCGAGACTGCGTCCAAGTCGACGAGATGGGACCAGACAGGGAGGATGATGTCGATTTTTCCCCCATCCAGAGCATCGAGTAGTTGCTGGAGAACGGGAGAGATATCGTAATCGGGCGGGGGAGGAAGGAAGATGACATTCGCGATGGGCAGATCGAGCTTTTTGGGGTATTTGGAGACGGGGCGAGGAGGGTCGGATGAGTGGGTAGCTTTGGCAGGTTTGTGAGGCTTGGGAGACTGCAGGGGTACAGCTTTTCGTCGTTTTGGAGGAGTGGGAGGGGGTTTTCGGGGTCGTTGACTGGCGGCAAAGAGTTTCGAGGAGCTGTTGAAAGCTCGCGACGAAGAGGGGGGTGCTCGGAGGGAAAGTCGATATAGCCATGAGGATGGGCCCGGTCCTGCAAGCGCAGAAGAGAGGTAGGTCATCTATATCTATAGGATACGATGCTCAAATTGCCGCGATTCATTGGCGATTCAACAAAATGAAAGAGATCATACGCGGGGGTAACTAATGTTAGTTATCGTTATTAATTGTGGTTGTTTGGTCCTGGTTTGGTCCCGAATCTTTTGGAGGGCGATAGACCTCAAGTCTGAAGAATGGAGATAAGATAGATGGTCTGTGATCTTTTGAATCATTGTACAAGAGTCCAGACCGCTTTCGACGATCATCGAGATCCTCGAGCTGGTGGATGGGCACGTTGCAAGAACGCCTGTAGGCCAGCAGCGCGTCAACAGCATGTCAAACAGTCAACATCGTTTGTATATCATGCCGTGAGATGAGCTTCTCTACTCATACCCATTTTGTGTCTCTAGCGTCCACTCTTATCGGTTACGTTATACGCACGTCGACAAGAACCATGTTGCTTCGGTCCCTCTGGACCCGATCAAGATCGAAGAAGACCGAAAGATCCTGTCTCAAAAAGCCGTCTAGCGAATACAAGAGTATCCGCCCAGATCCAGACCGGGAAAAAGTTGACCTTGGGCCCTTTAACAATGGGGACTGGGAGGAAAGAGGGTGTTGTTTTCCGCTGCTCAATGGTGGTGGTGTTGTGAGCCGTTCGAGGTCGTTTAACTGAGGGCCGAATGCTGACATGCAGAAGCATAAGAGATACCAGTACCAAACTCCGATATACAATGCCAGGCAGAGCTGATGGAGGTGAACTTGAATAGGTCAAAGAGGCGCCGAGTCCGATTCGCCACGTTGTAGCAAAGACGCATGTCGTCATGGACCCATGACTGCTTGACAGAGTGTATTGTGTTATGATGTTTTAGGACAATTCAAATAGAGTGTATATACGTTCGATATATGTTTCTCCATATACTGAGAACAATGGTATCCATGTCACACTGCGAGAGAAGTGTGAGACATTACAATATGCGATTACACACCAGGAGCCTTTTCAGTAACAGCGTCGTCTTCGACAACGGATTACTGATTTGAAACGATAGATTTCCGAGCTGACTGGTACTCCCTCTCCGGATGGATTCACCTATCACATTGAAGAGATCTACGGGTTTCAAACATGCACCTTTCCATTGCAGGGCGTACATATGCTGGCCTCGTGCTGATGTCATCGCCATAAATTATTGAGCAGTAGTAGGGCGCGCACAAGAACCCTGGTGATTGGTCGCCAATCAAATCCCAGATCGCTTTCCAATCAGTCGTTTACAGAGGTCCAGCAGGACTGCCGAGATGTTTCGGGAAACGTTGCGTAACGCACCACCTCATCAACTGACTACTGCAAAACGTGGAAGGAAAGGGGTGTGGCCGGGAGAAGAAACAGGTATTCGTCAGGTTCTTCTCAAGACTCTAAGCAGCACAGCTGGATTGGCCTTCTGAATAACGCTATCAACTGGGCAAAACAAGAGATGTAAGGGACATACATGGGGATGGTGACGGTACAGCCAGCTCACACACATACAACAGGGGTGTTTCGTAAGGTCCTTTCGAGAATCAACTGCAACAATATCGTTTCAGAGGTACTATTCCATGGTATACTAGCTCGAACTTCCTAGGACACCGCTGAAGCAGCTCCCCTCAAACAGCGTTACACTTACCCAACCGCGTACGCCGCAAATTATGCCGAACGCCACACAGCGACCGGGGAAGATCATCGAGGAAGGAGTAGCGTTCTCTCTGTTACTCGGCACGTCGAATCCCTCCTCCTCGGCAATCACAAAACCTTCTGTCCGTGACATAAACACCATGCTGAGAAGAGTGCGTTTTGGAGAGAGTCTGACGAGATAGTGATGGGACACATTGGCTATAAAAGGCAGCTTTGAACTGCTGATTGTACCATAGTGTTATCAACGCCATCGTTCAACATGCTTGCCTTTAGGCGGTTTTGGAGGTATAGGAGGAACGCCTCAGGCGGTAAGTTTAAGTTTGGTTCCTGTTCGTGTGAATGGGAATGTCTAACTCAAGATATCATTAGCATCGCCCAAGAAGCCGGTCACCCAATCCGCCGAAGACAGCTCCATGCGCCGCAGATGCGTCGATGAAGAGGAGTTGCTTCGTCTGCGCGGAGGTTGCTTTCCCCGTCGTCCTCGCGGCGTAAGTCGATCTCTCTCCAACCGGAGCATGACATTTTGTTGACGCTTTTTATCCCTCAGTATAGACCCAACGGGTGAGTGTCAGCATATGCCCTTGGCTTTTATACAGCTCTGACCATAATCGATCTCCCTGCAGGCCTCACATGGGCCACGAAGACATGGCATACGCAATAGAAATGATGCCTCAATATGAGATGTCTCGACGAGGGGGCGCATTGAGCCATACGCAGTACGGCCCAAACTTCAACATGCCCCCTCCGTTCGGGATGCCTCCAAGGCGCCCACATGGGGGTTATTGATTATCAAATTCTGATTAGAGGGAGGCGGGGGAAAAAGATGAATGGTTTGTTTTCGCGATTATTGATGACCTTTTGCTCTGTTGTCGTATATAGAAACGAGGTGGTTATAGATCTTGATGGCAGATGTCAGTTGAAAAGCGCCTTACTGCTCTATGACCGAGCCACAAAGGATAGCATCGCATAACACATTAAGCTAAGGAACTGTTCGTACTCCGCCATGCCGATGTACTCTTCTCATACATTTCGTACTTTTTGTCTCTCAAGAAATCTTCCATCACCCCGCTCCGACACCACGGTAGAGCATAGTAGTTCGTCTGAAGACTCGTAGCATCGGTCTTGTGTCTATTGGGCCACTTGTCTTCGTGGTAACTGACAATGTTGAACGACACTCCACAACTATCTGCGCACTCTGCTTGGATGCGAGGTAAGCCAGCCGTTTGTTGTTCCCATACGGGTCCACACGCTGGGTGAGTGATGGTACCCAAACGATGACTCGCTAAAGTGTCCTTTTTAGCGATATCACTTTTCCAGTACTGTTTTCTTTCCTCTCGTGAGGCGTTTTCGCCGCCGCCGATGACGGAGGAACCGCATACCGTGCACGTTGGAATGGGCTCTGCTTCGCACCAAATAGAGGCGGGATGGCGGGGATCGTCAAAGTATTTTGCTGTGTTGTTCCAGGCCTGGTCAAAGGGAGACGGTGCCTCGTCGTCCGCATCCACCAAAAGAATGTCATTATCTGGCCAGGCAGACTGGCGAGGATCGTTCAAGTGGGATGGAGCCCCATCACCTGCCACACTACGACTGTCTTCTTCTGAGGACGTCAACCGCAGCAAGGTGGTGACTGGCGGGAGCAACATCTGGTTATTGGGATGAGGAGCTGCCGTGTATTGTACCAAAGCGTTTTCTTCAGTCTCTATGGAAGGAAGACTTATTCGATTGTCGGGACCTCTAGCCAGTGATAAAGCTTTGTGAAACCTCGAGCATCCTCTGTACCCTTCCTCGTCTCGCGAGACGGAGCCGTACTCGAATACGATGATTGGCGCAGTGCATCTCCATCTGTGCATCGGTCCGTCTTCGCCAGATCCTAGAATTTCCTCTGCGTAAGGTTCGTCGTCGTCTCGACTCTCGAATTCAATCCCACATGATTCGATTGCGATGACAGGGTTCGAAGGGGCACCCGCCGAGTGGCTGGGGCAGTACCAATGTCCATTCCTCAGACTCTGCTCGAAGGCTTCCTTGCTGTACTTGTCTCGGCCGTAGAATGCAACGGCTCTCTCTCCGCTCACGAACGGTACCCGCGAGCTGATGGACTTGGCATTGCAGTCAGCATCGTGGCATGTTTGGACGTAGGCTTCGTGCAAGTTGGCGTTGTTTTGGTCGTTGGTGGGCCGCTGAGTGATGGGTGCTAATGTGGGTTGGTAGTACAGGTCAGCCGCCAGGTTTGTTTCGCAGATAGAATCGAGAGTGACATCGGTCAATGGGACTGTAAGGTGCGTTAATGTGGTGATCTTTTCACTTGAGACGTCAGTCGCGGGCAGTCGGTCACGTACTTGGGACGGTGGTGTTGGGTCGTGACATTATGTGCAAAGCTCAGTTGAAGTAGGAAAGAGAGAGAGGATAATAAAATGGGTTTGCCAGTGAAGCCTCAAGTACTTCGGAAATATTGACATCGTTTGAGATCACAATGGATGTTCAAATGCTATTTCCATTGCGCGATGAAGTCGGAGACCGAAGTATGTCCGCAGCAGAGTGAAGGGAGAGGTATGTAATAAGACGACTGACATTGACGACGTTTGCGCCATTATATTGCCAAGCTCGATATAGATAATGCTGGTGTTCTCAAAATTTCTATTCTCGTTCCACTGGTAGTTATCTGAGGTACCGTGCCCCTGCGAAGCAAGTACGTCGACAGGCGAATCTGTCTGTGAACGGAAATCATCGTACGACGACGGCTGTTGCCGACATCTGAGCCATAAAAGAGGGGCTGGCTATGTACTCCTTATATGTTGATTCTCAATAAGATACATGCTCGATCTGGGTCCATCTTCAATGAAACTTAGCTCGTTGGAGCGTTTAGGAGTCATCGGGTTTCCGAGTCGGGTTCTCATAGATGTCTGCGTCAAGAATCTGGCATCTCAAAAGTCATACGCATTACATTCCATGTGAAAACTCGTTTACCCGGCTCGTTGTTCATCCGTCGGACAAGTCCAACTCCAATCCACAACCCCCTCCTCCCCGAACAACTCTCGCACCTTCCCTTCCAACTCCTTACTCCCTTTACTATGCTCTTCATCCTCATGATTCACCTGATTCCACATCTTTACACTCTCTTTCACGTGCTCCTGCTCTGTACATCCTATCACCACTGGTACGCGTTTCCCACTGGGTTGAGAGATGGCGCGGTAGGCGTAAGAGAGGGAGATTTGTTCGAGGGATGTTTGGGAGGAGAGGCAGAGGGAGGAGGCGGCGCGGGCGGCGTGCCAGAGGGGTGGGATATCGCGGGCTGGGTGCCATACTGGCCCTCCGTCGGTAGTCAAGAGCCCCATTGATAAGGGGGCTGCGCTGATCACCCGATCCACCTTTGCCTGCTGTTCGAAGGCCTGCAGATAACCCTTCTCGATAGAATTATTTTGGATAGTGTGGTGCCCGAAGGTTTGGACGATGTCGAGAGGGGTGCCGGTGGTGTTGTATACGAGGAGAGAGAGACGGAGGAGGACTGGGAGAGGGTAGCCTGCAATACCAATCTTAAGAACCTTGCCGGAAGATTGAAGGGCGCGGAGGATAGATATGGCGAGGAGGAGGGTAGATTCTTCCGGAGTGGGTACGAGGGGCTGGGCAAGGACGGAGGATAGGTCGGATAGGGGAGTGTGGGAGCAGGAGGGAGGAGGTAGGGTGTATTCGACATCGTGCAGATCTGAGGAGGGGTCAGGTGGGCTGATTGGTAAGAGGAAGAGGGACGCACAGACGGCGTCAAGATAGTCGGTGCCGAGTCGCTTCAGGCTCCGTTCGACACTAGCCTTAATGACTTCTGGATCCCATATGTGATCTCTGCAGTTAGGGCCATACTTGCCGACTTTGGTGATTAGGTGATAAGAGCCGCGAGGATAGTCGAGAGCGCGAAGAGCGTTGCCGAGGATGATCTCGGACGGATTGTACCAGGGTGCTGCTTCAGGTCAGTATTTGCAGTCATCGTGAATCATATGGAAGAGGAACGTACCGGTATCGAAGCTAGTGATACCAGAACGCAAGGCAAGCCTGACTATACGCAGGGGCAGAGACGAGGTGAGGTGGTCTTGGTCGGTGTACATGCCATATCCAAAGGCTGCGCAGCCGAGGATCAGGGGCGATAGAACGACATCCTTGCTGTTCGGATTCTTTAAAGCCTTCACTACCAATTGGTATTATACTTGTAGGCGGATGGCTGAAGACTGACCTTGGGCAGGAGCTCCTGGTTCGTATTGGCCTTATCGATGTCTTCGTCTGGGATCGTTGCGAGGTCGAAAGGGGCAATATTTGGTTCGGGCTGATAAGGGTGGTAAGGGGAGAGGTAGTCGGCCATGATAGGGGTCTTCTGTCTAGAGATCTATGGGTCTAAAGTATTCCACGATGCAAGGTACAAATTGGGTACAAACGGCCCAAAACAGCCTGCAGTCACGTAGCACGCAAGATCGGGATCGTCAGGGTGGAGGCAGGTGGAGGTCTCCATTAGCATCCAAACGTAATCATTCACATTAGAGGGAGCAAACAGCCTCCACTTGCTGCGACCATCCCATCTTGCCTTGGCCGCTGCTTGATCGCTTTCCCATCCACTATACATATCGCTCGAATATAGACGCCCTGCCTGCTCAGCAGCCCAAGTAATATCGTTGATTCAACGCCTATCGCATTCTGCTCAACATGCCGCCTTCTCTGCCGATGCCACGGATCATGTACGGGACGGCCTGGTGAGTCTCGGCCGCCCGATGGCCAGTGGAGCGCTGCTTCTGTTTCTCTGGCCGGGGATACCAAAGACCTCAGTATCACAGAACAGAATACTGATGCTTGATTATAGGAAGAAGGATTATACTTCGGAGCTCGTGATACAAGCTGTCAAAGCGGGATTTCGTGGGATAGATACCGCGGCGCAACCGAAGGTGAGTTTCCAAGCTTCTTACCTCATTTGCTCCGTCGTTGATCCATAGAATAGCACTACAGGTATACGCCCTTCAAAGGCTCTAAGCCGTGGACTTCTCGCTCACAGTTTGCAGGGAGGATCTCGTCGGAAAGGCGATACAGACACTGTTATCAGAAGGCACCGTAAAGAGGGAAGAGCTATTCATCCAAACCAAGTGCGCATCGCTATTCCCATTTACATCAGTGTTAAGCTGACACATGTAATAGATTTTCCAGCCTTGATGGTCAAGACCTCACAAAGCCAATTCCTTACGATCCAAAAGTGCCTCTCGTCGAGCAAGTCAAGCAGTCCGTCCAGTCGTCTCTAAAGAACTTGGGCATCGACTATATCGACTCGGTCATCCTTCATTCTCCTCTACGCACCATAGATGTATGCCCTATCAATACGCTCTGATCTGGGCTGACCACTGCACAGGATACTCTCAAAGCATACACCGTCCTCGAATCATTCGTCGAAACCGGCCAAATCCGACAACTCGGCATCTCCAACATCTACGACGCCGAACAGCTCGAACATCTTATCAGACAAGTGGATGTGGCTGTGAGCGTGGTGCAGAATAGGTGGTATGAGGGGAATGCGTGGGATTGGGAGGTTTATGATGTTTGTCAGAAGTATGGAGTGCGGTATCAGTACGTCTTTATCATTGCTCTTGTCGGCTTCAGCCGGGGACGGAGGGGATAAGCTGACTTTGGTTACAGATCTTTCTGGACTTTGACGGGGTCGCCAACGTTGTTGGGGGATCCGTATGTGTCGGGTATGGCGAGAAAGTATGGGGTTACGACCTCGCAACTGATGTTTAAGCTCTGTCAACTGTACGTTATTCCTCTTTTCCTCCCTCCGTTGCTTTATTCATACAACACCCCGTCGATTTTCGGCTTTTCTGTGAAAGCTATAGCAGCTAACGAGCACGATAGCTGGAATATCACCCCTTTATCTGGAACGACTTCCCCCGACCACGCACGAGAGGCCATAGCTGCCGAGGAGGCGAAGATTGAGAAAGATGCGGAGGATGTGGTCAAGCTGTGGGATGCTTTGCATGGAATTTCGCGGTAGTGTGCGCGGATGGAGAGGGAGTAATGCAATGGAAAGAATATCAGTTGTACTCCCGTAAAGCGAAAATAGACTAACGAGACGTGTTGATATGTATGATGGATGCGATGTAGCTGCATGCCGTGACCATGAATCAATTGTACACATCGTCTTCCTATAGGCATATCACAGTTATTATCACCCTTACCGGCTATATACAACAGATGCCTCTCTCCAAGAACACACCACAATAAGACCTAGATCCAAGGGACAGCGATGATCGATGACATCTCAATGGTCGCCCAACCCTGCATCTCGTCGAATTCTGAGCAGCTCCGTACGCGTGATTTTCTGGGTGATAAACATCGTTAGCATCCTCTTGTATCAGGTGGGCGGCATGTCTAGGCTTACGCTCTTATCGCATAGAGATCTGAAAATGGATCCAGGTTGATCGAAAAGATTGAGGGGGGTATCCAGCTCGGCGACTTTACCATCGTCCATGGCAAGGATCCGGTCGTAGTATGCTACAGTCTGGAGTCTGTGGGCTATTGAGAGGATCTATCATGTACTATCATCAGTATCGACTCGATCGGGGACACTGAAAGTACTTGCGGTGGTGTTTGAGAATTGCGATTGAATGATTCGTTGAATGAGAGCGTCCGTCTCGGGGTCGACAGAGGAAGTGGCTTCGTCGAGCATGAGCACCTTGCTCCCTCTTACGAGAGCTCTCACCAGCGCCACTGTGGGGTGTTAGCAACTAGCCTTATTACATTCCCCGTCATCGATCAAAAAGAGAAAGTGTTGGCTCACAAAGCTGTCGTTCACCAGCGCTAAAGTTGGAGCCTTCACTCGCGACCGTCGCGTCTAGGCCGAACTTGGCGCGGATAAGATGGGAGGAAGAGTCGACGTTATGGATGAGATTGAGAGAATCGTTCAATGCAGCGTCGGAGTGGGTGTTTGTGGGATCGATGTTCTCGCGGATTGTACCACTGAACAAGAATGTATCTTGGGGGATGATAGAGAGCCTCTGTCTCAACTATCGTACATCAAATCAGGTGTTAGAGGGGTTTCTGATTGGCAAAGGTGCAATGTGGCTCACAGTATCGAGACCGAGACCTCGTAAATCTCTGCCGTCGATGACGATTTTCCCACTCGCGATCTCGACAGTCCTGAAAAGCGCTTGAGCGATACTGCTCTTCCCCGCGCCTGTCCTTCCTATGATACCGATCTTCTCTCCGGGAGGGACATCGAACGTCAACCCCTTGAGAACTAGAGGTAGATCTGATCGGTATTTGAGCTCAACGTTTTGGAAAGAGATGGCGCCTTCAGAAGGCCAAGGGCCGGAGGAGTTGTCGGGATCTGAGGGGAGGTGGGGAGGGGCTTCGGGAGTGAGCTCTCCGTAGGCTTGGACTCTATCTGTGCTATTCTGCGATCAAGGTGAGTATCTCAGTGCTCCTCGTCGGTAGGTACGTCTTTTCGTGAGCATGCGCTTACCATTTTCGCTTCGAAGTTCCCCGCCCAACCGATCATGCCCGTCAATGCTAGTAGCAGCAAGAAGTCATCGATCAGTCTTCAAATAGAGGGTTCCAGACGATTGACTTACTGGCAGATGTAGCGATTACATAAGTCAGCACGACACCAAAGTGAGATGGCGAGACCGAGTTCCGGAAGACAACACCAAAGATTGCCACAAACTAGATGTCATTCGTTCAGGCCAGCGTCTAAATGAAGCAAGAACGCGTACCAAAATAAGAAGGTAGCTCATAAAATTGATTCTGATCCCCATCCAGTAGCTTTGTGTCATTTTCTGTGCATCACATCAGTGTTTTCACAGCCCGATGTATAGCTAGGACACTCACCCCGCATAGCACGGTCGACATCTCCACGTCCACTGATTTCTCAAGTTTACGGTTATATCTCGACTGCTGATGGAAGGCGCGGATGACAGGAAGGCCAGTCAGCTGGATCAGGTCAGCACACTGTTTTTACACGAGCGTCGTTGCTGCTGCCTTACTTGTTCTCCGAAGTTGGAGTAAATGTGACTTCTCGTCAAAGATGCCAGTCTCTGAAGATCGCGAGCGGTAATCCTGTAGTAGATGAAAGCCAAAACCTTGATCGCACTTGTCAGCGAGCGTGACGTTTCCACTCTAATTAGGGTACACAGCTTACATAAAAGAAGTAAACCGGGATAAACAGAAGAGCGATCCACGGATAGACGTAAAGGATGAGGGCGAGAGCTCCAAAGATGCTCATGACGGCGCTACAAAGATCTGAAGTCAGTTGAGCTCTGCACAACCGAGAGTGTGGCAGCAAACTTTGCAAGTAAATACCACAGATCCGGCACCCGATCATCGAGATTCTCGACATCTATCACAAGAAGGCAGTCTCGTCAGCAACGATCGGCAAATGCTAGCAACCTCACCGTTGCTTAGGCGATTGATGATGCGCCCCGTCTATGTGTTAAGCTTCAGTATGTGGCAGTGCGATGAGGAGGTATGAAATGCTCCTAACCGGGTTACGATCATGCCAAGCAGTTGGACTTCTGATGACACCATTCCATGCTCGATTGAAAATTGTGTATGATGCCGAAATCGCAGCCAAAAATGTGGAAAATACAGCGCCAAACTACATTACCGTTAGTATCGTCCTTGAGACAACTCTACGGTTGAATGTCATGCACCGAAAATGCGGCCATCAAACCACCGAGAACTGTACGTGTCATCAGCATAGCACTCACGATCATATGATACTCTCTTACCTCCATAGATAGCCATGTACTCGCCCTGTCGAAGATTAGGATACTTGTTTTCTGACCAGAAACCTAGGAAAAGAGAGTTGAAGACGGTAGCCGCCTGGGCGAGAAGCAAAAATGACATCACCATGGGAGGCAGAGCCCAGGACTTGATTGCTTGAGCGTACTGGCGATATGATGTCCAAGAGATTGTTCCTTGTGCCATATCCTCATCTATTACTAGCTTCTTCACCTCACCCTTATTAGAGGGATCGGTCTCTTCTCCTTCTGTGTCATCTTTGGGTATTAGTTCTGCTTCTTCATCAGCGTCTTTCCCTTCAGATTCGCCGCTGGAAGAAGAGTCTTGAGTAGATCCAAATTGGCTGATCAGGGTCTGGAAAGTTCCGGTTGCCGACATCAGTTGCTATAAAAGCTGTCAGCTATGAAATTAAGATGATGAGAGATTATAGTATCACCTCATAAGTCCCTTGTTGAATTATATGTCCATCGCCCTTCTCATCTTTTCCCATGACGAGGATGACATCAGCATGATGCAACATGTCCAAATGATGCGTTACAAGAACACGAGTGCGATGGCTCAAAGGCCCGTTGAGAATGCAATTGTGAAGGAGATGATTTCCGACGTGAGCATCCACTGCTGACAGCGGATCGTCCAGAAGAACGACAGGCGCCTGAGAGTAAGCTGCTCGGGCAATACAGATGCGCTGTCGTTGTCCACCAGAAAGTGTAATTCCTCGTTCACCTATTTCAGTCCTGGGCGCTCATCAGTTCAAGTATCAAAAAGCTAGTCTTTCGCTTACAGAACGCCTTGAGGCCACATATTGACATCACGCCTCAAAGCACACGCGCCAATGACTTCTTCTACACGTTTCAGATCAACGTCTCCAGATGCACTAGAAAAGGTAACATTGTCCCTGACAGACCCCGACTGTACCCAGGCGTGTTGGGGGACTGTAATGTCACATCAGCGCCCACAAGGACTATAGCTGTTCGGGATAGATATACCGTAGCTGACACTCCCACCGAAAACCACTTCGCCTTCGGTACGTTTCATCTCGTTGAGAAGACCGGAGAGAAGAGCCGTTTTTCCGGTACCTACGCTACCTACCACGCATACCAGTGAACCTCGGGGTATCTGTAGATCGATATTCTTGAGCGAAAATGGTGTATTACTCGCGGCATCGGGGCCGGCTTTTGCGCCAGCTTTGTCGGGGCTCGCTTCTTCATGCTGGAAGCTGGCCCTCGCTTCGATTCCATACCTCGAAGAAGTGTCGATTCGTATGACGTGATCGAGCTCCTCGGCCTAGACAAAAGCTACGTCAGCAGGTAGGTCCACTCCGGGGCGAAACTGATATACTGACCTCAAAAAGCGTAGATAGACGATCTGCAGATATGTTCAGCCTATTGCTAGCCGCTTCCCACTCGATTGAAAATTACGTACCGACGGCGACTGTGCCCTCACTGAAGCCAGAAAGTAGTTGTGGAAGCATTGTCAACGGTACTCTCATAATGTTGAAATACTGCAGAGACGAGAAGATGACCGCCGCGTTCAGCGTGTGTCCGCTGAGAGAGTAGGTGATGTAGGTCACTGTGAATGCGCAAAAGCTGTTGTCAGAAAAGTTGAATCAGTAGCTAGGACCTACTTACTGATAGCCGCGAGCGTAGGTATGAATGTGACAATCATGTTCAAGCTCGACTTTCCCACACTGTTCGATCTACGTTTCTGCAGCTCCTCCTTTCGCATATCTTCAATCTTGTCCGCCCAAAGCTTTTCGTAAGCATACAATTTAACAGACCCGATGTTGTTAAGGACTTCGGACAGCAGGCGGACGCGACTATCCATGACTTTTGTTTGAGCTTTACGGAGTCGGGAGATTCGCTTGAACATAAAGGTCTGGTATGGACCGATTAGTGCAAGAACGCCGAGACCGACCAATGCGGAGTATCCCATGTTGTTGATCAAGAGCGCTGTACCGAGAACGATGGAAATCGGAGCAGATGTCATGTCAAGACTTATCGGACAGAGCGATTCCTGCGTTGAAGGTCATATCAAGAATCAGAATCCGGGTCTAGAATCGTGATATCTGGACTTACGATAGATGCGCAATCTACCGATACCATAGTTGTTAAGCGACCATTGGTCATCTCTAACCTTGATCCACTGGAGAGCCTCCTACGTTCTTATTTAGCGCCGTTCACTCGAGTATGTTGAAAGATCCTGACATGGACTTGCGAGCAATCATGGTAATGAGCTAGTACAATGTAAGACCGGCGGAAGTTATGATATTCGATAGAGAGAGAGATGCAGGCTTACAGCGGACCTCAGCTCTCTTCCCATGACGGATGTCTCAAAGTTTGTATAATGGCTCATGAACGATGACGCGAGGAGCATCAACCACAGGCCGAAGGCGACTCCGACCATGTATCCAACCGACTTTGGGCGCTGTGAGTCATCCGGAGACCGCCCGGACGTTGTATCGTGGTGGTAATTGTAAGCAGCGGTGAGTTGAGTGATGAGGATTTTGGTGACGAGGGGGGCGGTGATTTGAAGGACCTCTGCCTTCATGTCAACGTTGTACGTAGAAAAGCGACTGTGTCGCTGTCGGATGGTCTTTTGGGGCGACTTACGGGCTGCTCCGTGGATGGTGTTGTTATATGTGATTGTTCTCCATACGGAAAGATATAGAGCTTTGACCAAGCTCCGATCATACACGTGCCCATCCTCGAGAACCATGTCCCCATTTGTTACCTTCTTTTGCAATTGTCTGGACAGTTTCGGTTCGGATTCTGCCTTGTGAGTCTGTTTTTCAGTAGATGAAGATGAGATGCTATGATAGGTTGCAAATGTTGAGCGATACTCGGCGGGTCGTTTTGAAGGAGGAGTACGTTGCATGTAAAGTCGCTCGAGATTGTCACCAAGCTAATCAGCAACTTCAGCGATGTATACCCACGAATCCGGTAGCCGCTCCGCAACATGAGCTGAACAAGCAGTTGAAACTCACATTCTGACAGCTAAAGTCAGGCGTAATATCATATACATCTGTACATCAACAATGTCAGCGGACGCCGTGCAGATCTCCACCTTGGCTGGACTACTGACCATCTTGATTGATAGGCCTCGACCACGTGAGCTTGAGCATAGGCGCAATCCATTGTCCGAAAAGCCTGCTGCAAAGGCCGGCGCTGCTATACGGTAGCGGCTCGTTCTTGAAAAGTGCTGGCGGTGCAGCAGTGGGTTTGTAGAAGGGGATGATCATCGTACTGATGATGCGAGGGCTGTGAGAGGGATGGATGAGGTGGTGTTGGGGCAGGTGTTGAGGGTGTGTGTTGGACCGGGGCTCGAAATGATTATATATTTCTGCTACGTGTAGGTTTGCTGAGCTTATATTTTTGTACTCAGCGATGTTCTGCAAACGAGGCATAGAGGATGGTGCTCAAAGGTATCGATCTCCTTTACGATCATGTCGTTGCTGATGTTTGAAGTCGTCCTTTGTACGTGATCGAAAGACTTTGTCAGAGAGAAGAGGTTGACAGAAGACAGATGACATAGGAATGCATGAGTACGATGTATTGGAGTCTGGAGGAATGATATGTCAAATGGCTATGGGGATGATGATAGATGCTCGGGTCATAGAGGAGAATCTGAACAGATTTACCACAGTGTGAGGGTTTGCTAGACAAGGACTAGCACGGATCCGATACAGATGGAAATACCCTCAGTCACCCCTCTCTACTTATCCTCCTCTCTTCACGCATTCCTTCCTTGTCTAGCTCTGACTCGTCTTCGTCACTCGTCCTCCTTCCCCTACCCCACGTATCCGACCCTTCTTCTGACCCCTGCTGCTCTCATTTGCACTCTTCTCGAAAATGTAGTTGCCACGAGCATCTCGTCTCTGGGCCTTGGCACTCCTAACACCTGCGCCTCTTCCAGCCTCGAATAGCCCGACATGTGCATTGCCTTTTTGTCTGATTGTATGATGAAACCCTTCTTCGGGAAGTATCGCCGCCAGAGGTTGAGGAGTCGGATGAGGAAGCGGAAGTGGAGGGGGATGTATGTTTGCGTGTATTTGGGAGTGTTAGAGAGAAGAAGAGAGAATTGGGGATCGAAGCACGGGCAGCACCCGGTCCATCTGCAGGCTGCTCAGCCCAATGCGAGCCAAACAATCAGTCACGTGCAGATTGGAATGCCCATTAGCGGGATCAAATCTAAACTAGTGACGTCTACACGTCGTGTCGTGTCTTTCCTCTTTCTTCCAGTCTCTCCTTCTCCTACAACTCGTCAAAACGCTGCCACTCGCCATGTTGCCGCGACTCGCCACCTTCTCAGTCGCCTTCCTGGCACTCTTATCGCCCACTCTCGCCGCCAAGGAACCGGAGGACTCGTTGATTGGCGTCATAGAAAGGGTTCGTCTTCTCTACCCTCTGTGCGCGTCGGTACTGACTTGGATGGCAGACTGTCCCCCTACGGACGCACTCGCTGGCGGCTCCTTATGTGGATAGTGATCTGCAAAATAGATGGTAAGTTGCGTCTCGTGAGGGGTGCCTAAAGTTGGAGACTAACGCTTTTTGAAGGTGGGATTTCGGGGGCGACACCATTATCGTGAGGATACTCTGCTGAATACAGGCGTTCTAGCTGACACTTGTTGCAGAATACTATGAAACACGCCCGCCTCACACAAGATCGCCCATCCCAACAAGGCTGGCTCTGGGCCCGAATGCCCTTGAGCGTCGCCAACTGGCAGATCGACGTCGACTTTAAGGTAGACGGCAAGGCGAACAATATCTTTGGAGATGGATTTGCGATGTGGGTCAGCCAGGATAGGGCAAAGACTGGACCGGTGTTTGGGAGTGTCAACTTTTTCAAGGGGCTTGGTATCTTCTTCGACACGTGAGTTTGAATCTTGAAGAGAAGGGGAGAGAGCTGATGGGTAGGGTAGGTACGCGAACACTAAGCATGGATATTCTTGGCCTCGTGTGAGCGCTATGCTGGGAGATGGGAAGACGGGGTACAATCAGGATACCGACAATGAGGCGAATGAGCTCGCGGGGTGTTCTGTGAGTGCCCTTGGATGGTCGAATGTCGTGCGCGACTGACGAACCCGTAGGAGAACTTCCGACGACGCAACGACGTCCCGACCAAAGCTCGACTGACATACATCAAGGGAAAGGTTCTGCAGGTGAGTATGGTTGTACTCGTCTTTGATCGTTGCTGACTAGTCTGCAGCTCAAGCTTCAAACCCGGAAAGTCGACGAGTGGAAGATCTGTTTCGAGACCAACGTCGACCTCCCCGAGAGCCCATACATTGGCTTCAGTGCTGCCACAGGAGATGTATCCGACAACCACGAGTGCGTTCTCCCTTCTTGAAAGGCTTTAGGCTCTACTGACGCTTGCGATCAGTATCATCTCCGTCTCTACCCACTCCGTCACCGTCAAACCCGAGCACCGAGATATCAAGCAGGCTCTCGGCGCGGACGCCAACAAGAGCGGCAAGGGAAGAAAAGCGGAGAAAGCTAGTGGGGGAGGCGCCGGATGGTTCATGTTCATTCTCAAGGTGCGTCTGCGGTGTGAACAAGTACCGTTGACTGTGCTGACTGGCGATTGTAGTTTATCGGTGTGCTTGCCTTCATCGCGTTCGGTGTTGCCGCTTTCGTACGTCATCACCTCAGATCTGTATGATCGATTGCTGACCCCTTTTGGCAGAGGACTTACAACGCTCAGAAGAGATCAAAGAGGCATTGGTAGAGGGATGGCATCTGTGGACGGAAGTAACGAAATATGATGCATAGAATGACAAGTCGCTCTTGATTCGTACGCAAGAGATACGTATATACATGCTCATCTCCTCGGGGTACGCCTTCTCTGGGCGATCCATCATTTCGAGATCTTTGCACTGTACAGAATCGACAGATGGGTCAGATCGCATTACAAAAAGAATGCTAATAGTATGACGGCCGATTACAACCGCGTCCTAATGACTCGCGTTCAAAACAAACAAATCCACTCTCTGTCATTCCTCCATTCTACTTTCTACCAATAATAGACACCCCCCCACCATGTCCGATCCGCCAACCACCATATCCCTCCCGCCCTCTCTGCCATACCCCGTCACCATCACCCGCCTCATCGCCAACCCCGGCGACCCCTTACGCCGGGGATCTCGGCTGCTCGAGTATTCCTTCATGTCGTCTGACCAGCGAGAACGGATATCAAAGAGACGAGCGCAAGGGAGGACGGCGGATAAGGGGAAGGGGGAGATTGAAGGGGATGATATGGTGGGGTCTTGGGATAGTTTGATCGAGGGAGATGCTGTGGCGTGGAAAGGCGCGAAAGTCGGGCTGGTGGTCGAGAAGAGGGACGCGAGGTATGTGTCCTCTTCGAACAAATGTCCCTTACTGATGCACCTTCAGCAATATAGTACTCAGTATCCAGCAAGCATGCTCCCATCCTGTTCAGCTTCATGGAATGTGCGGTGTCTGTGGTGCCGATCTGACGGCGTTCGTGTTCTTGCTCTTATACTCTGTGTCCGCCCGCTAATGTTGTGCTTTAGAGACGACTATCTATCTCGCCCCGCCCAGAATACATCTCAAGCAGGCCCCTCCCGCCACCCTGGTGGATTCGAGATAGCACACGACTCTATGGGAGTTACAGTCTCGAAGAATGCACGTTTCGCCCTCCTTTCTTTTGTCAAGCCGCAGCTGATGTCTTTGTAGGAGGCTCAACGGCTCGAGAACCTTACTCGAAACGCCCTCCTCGACACCCGCCGACTCTCTCTCATTGTAGATCTTGACCAGACAATTATCCACACGACTGTAGACCCCACCGTTGCCGAATGGATGGAGCAGATCGAAAGACAGAAGGAAAGGGATGCAAAGACGAAAGCGGGGGTGGAGAGCACTACGCCTCCGGGGTCGCCGACTGCGGGGGGATTGGGGGTGACGGTGAAGCTGGAGGAGAGGAATCCGAATACGGAGGCGCTGGATGATGTTGCGAAATTTCAGATCGCGGATGACTTGCCGGCAGAGTACGCCAAGCTCAAGAGCAAGGCTGGACCGGGGAGTAAACCTGTTGAGAGCGGAGGGAGGTGGTACTTTACCAAGCCTAGGTGAGTGTTTGATTTCAAGCTTCGGGGACTAATAGCTGACCATCTTGTGACAGGCCGGGTCTGCAAAAGTTTCTCGATGAGATGTCGGAGTTGTACGAAATGCACGTCTACACCATGGGGACGAGGACATACGCCGATGCGATTTGTCAGGTGATAGATCCCGATGGCAAGATCTTTGGCGGTAGAATATTGAGTCGAGATGAGAGCGGAAGTGAGTAAAGAAGCGCCTGTTCTTGCAGATTGACAGCTGACGATACGTCAGGCTTCAGCTCGAAAAATCTCAAGCGTTTATTTCCCACCGATACTAGTATGGTTGTAGTCATTGACGATAGGTCTGACGTCTGGGGAGATTGCCCCAATCTGGTCAAAGTCGTTCCTTGTGCGTATAAACCACTATTTCTTATATCATGGCTGATGTCGTGTAGACGATTTCTTCCTCGGTATCGGCGATATCAACTCGTCATTCCTACCCGCCAACAAATCTACTCCCCCGCCATCGTCTGCCGCCAAAGCCTCTCCCGCTCCTTCCGGTACCTCGCCATCTCCTCCTTCGCCTTCTCTTACAGTTGGCGAAAGTGCTGCTTCGACTCCTTCACCTACGACACCCTCGTCCGTCACGGCGGAGGTCGAGCCGACGAGAGAAGAAGAGTTGGTAATGAAGGCAAAGTTGATGGATGAAGTCAGTAGCGAGCGACCTTTGGCGAAGCTTCAAGAAGAGCTGGAGCATGCGGGGGAAGGCGAGGGGGGGGAGAAGGGGGTGAAGGAGTCCTCGACACGTTTGGTGACGTCGGAGGAGTTCAAGGAGAGGTCGTCTTCACCGAGCAAAGTCCCGAAACCGCTGCTCAATCCTCACGACTACGAACTCATCAGAGTTGCGGAGGTGAGTCTCATGCCATCAGCTCTTTGGTCTGTCGCTGACATGCGCATAGATCTTGACTGAAATACATGGCCGGTTCTACAGCGGGTTTGACGCTATCGAGAATTGGAAGCCGACGAACACTTTGCCCATGAACTGTGATGTAGAGGTACGTTGCTCGGCTATGGCATGTCGCATCTATTAATCCTTTGTAGTTTATCATTCCCGAGATCAAAGCGGAAGTGTTGGAAGGGTGCACCCTTGTCTTTTCCGGTATGATTCCTCGGGAAGTGAACCCGGCCAAGTAAGTCCCATATCTGATTAAAGCGACGACTAACGTCCTCTCGCAGCACCACCATCTGGCAAACGGCAGAATCCTTCGGCGCCCTGATAACCCCCTCACTCACCCCTCGCACCACCCACCTCGTCACCGCTGTTTTCAACACCGAAAAGACATGGCGCGCTTCCAAGATGCCGCATGTCAGTACTGTTTGGGGAGAGTGGTTTTGGGATAGTGTGGCGTTGTGGAAGAGACAGGATGAGGGGAAGTATTTGGCAAAGAAGGAAGGGAGCGAGCCGGAGAAGGAAGAGAAGAAGGGCGGGCAAGTTGCCGAGTCACAGCCCGAGGGCGGGGCGGAGCAAAGAAAAGGAGAAGGGGGGGAGGAGAATAAGGATATGAACGACGATACCCAAGTGGGGACTGGGTGGGACGAGGAAGCGGAGAAGGAATGGGAAGATTTCATGGCGGGCGAGGATGATTGGTCGGAGGATGGGAGTGTGGCGGCGAGCGAGGCGGGGAGTGTGAGGAGTATCGGGAGTGCTCCGTCGACGCCTAGTCGGAAAAGGGTGAGGTATGCGGATGAGGAGTTCTTGCCGCTGGAGGACTTTAAGGACCCGTCGCCGCAGGAGTAAGTCTGGTGCTACGAGGTGTTGGGGAGTATGGGCTGACTTGGCGTGTAGTTCGCTCGAACCCGAGTCAAAACGGCGCAAACCGCTCCTTCTTGAAGACGCAAAGCCAGGCGAAGACATCCCGGAAGCGAACCGAATGCAATACAAAGCGAAGGGGTCGTATGGAAAAGGCAAGGATGAGGCGAAAGGCGAACAGGGTGAAACTGGGACGTCGGGGGTGGAAGACGACAGCTTTAACGTTGGGGGAGGAGAAGGAGATGACGAGTTTGCGCAGATGGTGAGTCGACTTTATGGTGTGGTAGTACTTGACTAACGCAGTCGTAGCTCATGGACAGCTTGGCCGACGGCGAAGAGGTCGAGGACGAAGACGAATAGGGCGTGTTGGCGATTAGCTTGTTGTGCCGTTGCATATGTTGTAACACTGAATTTTATAGTAGCATCTCTGTCCAATCTATGCATTGTCATCGTTTGCAAGTCTCCTCGTATTGCTAATGGGATTGTGATGGCTTGGGACTGGCTTGGAGGGGGGTGGACGAGCGAGGTGGAGGCATGTGCCTGGTCGATCTTTGTTCGTTTCGCTCTCTTTTCGACATCTATTTTCCATCTACATTCACCAAAAAATTACCCACCGCGTCCACCTCTCAACGCCGACTCGACTCGGTCACCCTTTACACCTCTTGACTCGCAAGCCTCCCCCGAAAGAATGGCTTCCATCCTCCTGGGCGAGCCCAACACCCTCCCAACCGATCCCATCGTGCCCGGGACCGGGAGCGAAAAGAAGAAACGCCAAATTCCCCAAGTCGCGTTCTATGTCGCTGGATCTGCTGTACGCCCCTCTATATCTCTCCTCCTCCAGGGCGCATGAAGAACGCCAAGGCTAATCTGGAATATAGTTTGTCATGACGATAGGCCTAACAGCGATGGTCATCCCTTACGTCCGTCAAGCTGCTCGGTCGATCAATAGACCAGAGTTCATGTCGAATCGGCATATGCCTATTCTGGCTTCTCGCAAATACCCTTCGCCCCTTCTCCCTCCTTCAGCTTCAGCTCCAGGCGCCAACTCATCATCGACATCAGCATCGGCACCGCTCGGGGGAAAGGCAAAGACGTCGGCTCTACCGGCGTATTCGCATCCGACATTCGCAGCCGAAATGCCCATCTCCGAAAAAGACATCTTGAGAGAACAAGTAGCCAAGAGTCGGCTATTCAACGCTAGGGAAGAAAAATCGCTTTTCGGGGGATCGTTGATGCTTCAAAAGAAGGACGGGTCCGCCCTCAGAGAAGGCGAGGAAGAAGGCGAAGCGGGAGAGGGTGGGGAAGGAGGGAAAGAGGGAGATAATATGGAAGGAGCGTTGTTGGGGGCGAAAGCGTTTGGGATAGCGACGGGGATCGTGTTTGGGTGTGCGGGGTTGGGGATGTGGATTGTGGGAAAGGCTGTGGGTGCTGAAGATGTAAGTCTCCCTCTTTTTTCTATTGTGAAGGGGGGGGGGGGTGGAAGCTGATGGGGACGGTAGCCGGAAGACTTTGCCGTCAAGATGCGGCAACAGCTGGTAACGTCCATGCCTGCGCTGGTGACGAGTGTGAATAAGCCGGGGAGGAGTGTGGATGGGTTTGATGGGCAGGCGATTGAAGAGTGGGTGGAAGGGTTGGAGAGGGAGGATGAGAGGCCAACATGAGACGGTACACGTCGAGATGGATCACTTTTTCATAATGCTACACTGCTATACTTTTTCTATCTCGCTACAGTGTTGTTCCATTGCTACCACGTTCTGATTCCCGATCTTTCTACTTTCGGTGCTTCCAAGCCTCGTCATTGCCTTGCCTCCTACACTCGCGAGTCAGCTTGTCTCTCAACACAAACACGAACACGTCAAGACGTACCCCATCTCAGCAGTCGGCTGGGTGTTCCTTTCAGCCAGAGTACCGTCTTTGGCCTGCTGGGAGAGGACGGGGTGAGGAGGGTCGACGGCGGAGCTAGAGTGGGGAATCTGGCTGGAGGGCTTGAGGTTGGAGGGAGCGGGTTCGGTGGCTTCTGCAGAGTAGTCGGATTCGAGGTGAGGGGGGAGAGCTTCGGGAGGAGCGCTCTGCAAACGTGTCAGCTTGGGATACGAGGTAGGAGAGAAGCGGGGCTTACGGTAGCGGCGTGGCTCTCACTGTCATGATGAGTCTTTGCATACTTGTCGGAAGGGGGCGAGTGGGCTCTCCTCGCAGCGCTCATATGGATCTTCCTCGTCTGCTGTGTGCTCCCGCCCTTGCCTTGCTGGCTGGGAAGATGAGGGTCATCGGCGGCGTTGCCCTTGCCCTTGTCGGGGGTGGACGAAGAGCTGTGCTTGAGGTGATCGTTCTGGTCGCCCGGGGTGGATTCTTTCGGGGCGCGGGAGCCGGGGGCGTCGGGGGATGTGGGCTCGGCAGCGGGTCCGTGGGCGCGAGCAGAAGTGTGAAAGTTCTTTCCTTCCTATATCCCTTGTCAGCAAAGTTTCTTCCAACCAAAGAAGGAAGGACATACCTCGCGAAGCTTTCGCAAGCCTTCGAAACCTTGTCCCTGGTTGGTATTCTTGAGCCCCTGAGTAGCCGTGTTCTCGGCAGCAGGCTCTTGCCCCCCGAATTCCACGCCCTTGTCGCTACCTTCCTGCCCACCGACTTGGTCCTTGAAAGCGCCAGACTGGCCCTTGTCGACGCCGCTTGTCGCCTGCGTCTTGGACCCCTTTGCCTCGCCACCGCTACCGCCTTGACGGGCAGCATCGAATGGCTCTTCCTCGCCGGAGCCGTTGGAAGACTGCTTTTCAGCGTGGGCGGCGTGGGCCGAGTCGGCTTGGGGGTCGTCGGCGTCTTTGGTGCTGGTGTGGCCCTGGGTGGTGGGGGGGCCCTTGTTGAGGCGGGGGCGGGTGGTGGAGAGGAGGCGGAGGTGGCCGCGGGAGAGGAGTCTGGGGGCGAGGCGGAACATGTATGTGCTTGTGGAGATGCAGTTATGCCGTGGTGGAGTGGCTGATGGGAAGAGGGAACAGGGAAGTGCGTCATCTGCGGTGACCGCCGGTGACTCACCCGGCCTCTTCAGTCCCGAGTGGAGGTCGCCGCCCGTTGTTGCATCTCGACAATGTCTGCCCCCGCGCCGCCCTACGCCCCCGCTCGCCCCACAGCCACCCGCCCATCCCTCACATCGCTCCCCGTCCATCTCATACACCGCATCCTCCGACTCACCCTCGACCAACAAGCCACCCCCACCCGTTTCTGGTCGGATGCCGAGGAGGAACGAGTCAGGAGACTGTGGGCGCTCTTTCGCGCGCTCAGAGGTGTCAGCAGAGTGTTCTGGATAGGTGCGTCAAATAAGAGCTGGGGATTGACTGATACATGAACAGTGGCGACATCAATACTCCGAGCACACTACCTCGCCCCCTTCCTCAACCTCATCCACCCCGGCTACTCTTCCGACCCATTCCCATTCGAATCATCCCACCTATCGGACCCCTCTCTCTCATTCGACTCCAGCGCAGGGGGGAGTGTGTATGCAGAGAGGGGGAGGGAGACGGCCGTGTTTGATAGGTTTATAGCGGTCAGGGTTGGGGAGGTGTTGAGGAGGGTGGAGAGTGAGCTTTCGGAGGGGAGTGGGGCGGAGGTGGATATCTTTCAGAGGTTGCAGGTCAGCCTTTCTGTCATGCTTATGCTTGGGTTTTGTGAAGGCTGACGAGATGATAGCCGGCTGCGAGGATCGAAGACCTCATATCGACCCTCCCCCCTCACTTTATAACACCCACCTCCATCCTCCCCTCTCCCCCTCCCCCAAATCCGAAACGCACTCTTCCACTGCCCCAAGCACTCGTGAGTATCTCCCTCACGCCGAATTGGGCGCAAGTGTGGATCAATGCGCAGGTGCAGGGGGTGGGTTTGGCGAGGAAGGGAGAGGGGAAGAAGGAGATGGTGCTTGAGGTGAGGAGGGTGGGGACTTTGGAGGGGATTGTGGCGAGCGTTGGGGAGGGGTTGGATCATTTGAGGTTGGGGTTGGTGCGTTGGGGAGGGAGGGTGCAGTGATCAGCGTGAGGTGGGACTGGTGTGTAGCAGTAGTGGGCCTACGAGTAGCGACGGACTGTACGAGCAGTGGAATATATACGTGTAGTGAATTGCACGAGTAGAAACGTCCTGTAAGAGTAGTGGAATGTAAGAGGAGTATCGAACTGTACGAGTAGTTTAACGACCCCCCATCTTGTCGCCCGCCAGATGTATGTCATGTATGTCATGACGTTATATGAGGATACATGCAATGAAAACAGCTGTGACTCAATCGCGCTTTGGTAATAATACAAAAGAACATCTACAACTTTCCTCTTTCCTTTCCGGCGCCACAGCGCCAATCGGGGGCTTGACATGATATGAGATGATATGTTGGTGATAGATATTTGTGATATGCGAGGGAGGGGAGAGGAGAGGGGGATTATTGGAGCGGTTCGCGACTGAGGGGGCGTTAGTACGCGATAGAGCGAGAGGAGCAGGGTAGAGAAGAGAGAGATAAAGAGACTCAGAAAGACGACGACGAGAGGGAGAGGAGATGAAGGAGAAAGAGACGAGCTAAAAACGCGAGAAAGAGAAAAGGAGTCAAACAAGCGGAAGGAGAAATGACAAACCTCGAAGACAATTTGTTGAGCGAGATGTAAACGTCCGTGCCATAACCATCCATCGACACGATCCTCAGATCACCTCCAAAGAATCGAGCGTACTGCACGACATGTAAGCAGAACTCTCGCGCGCATGCAGAAGGAGGACGTACAAGTCTTGACAAGGGGAGTCCGTACCCAAAGCCAGCCATGGGCGCCTTGAACTCTGACATTTGCAAGTGATCTTCTAGCCCTTCGTCGCTCATTGTCGTATAGAGATACCTTCGAGGTCGTTAGTACATCCCCCCCGGCCCCTCGAGAAGATTAAAACTACTCACGTCCAGATCTGCGGCAGCGCACTCCTCGGTATTCCCCCACCCTCATCCGAAATCTTGATCGTAATATCCTCCCTCCCCTCCACCACCACCACCTTGATCGGGGGGTACAGCTCATCATTGTCCCTCCCGAATCTCTCGACGATAGCGCGAAGAGAGTTTTTTAAGAGTTCAAAGCAGATGTGGGAGAGGTGGCCGGGGATGTAGGGGAATGTGAGGGAGGGGGGGCAGACGAGTTGGATGGAGGGGGATTTGAAGAGGGAGTAGTGTTCTTCGCAGACGTAGCGGGCGTTGTCGATCGCTTCTTGGCAGATGTCGTGGACGTTCTGCGAAAGTGTCAGTTTGGGGATAGGAGGAGAGGGGGTGGGGGCGCACGGCTTTGGTACAGATGATGCCGACGTAGTCTGGATGGGGAGGTAGCGTATTGAGAGCGATATCTGATCCAAAAGTCAGCTTCCCCGTGTCTCACAACCGCAGGGGTACTCACGTTGACCAAGCAAGAACCGGATCCCAATCCTGCTCATGTAAAATCTATCCAAAAACTCCTGTATAGGCGTCCCAATAGCGTTCGCCCTCTTCAGCCTCTTCCACTCTAAAACTCCTTGCGCGACAGTCGTGACCGTCGGGTCGTGACGATGCTTGATGTCTTGCAGGAGATGTGTAAAATTTTCGTTGTATTCGTGGACTTCGGGGGGGTATATGATGGTGGTTGGAGGGGGTGAAAAGTATCTATAGCGAGATCAGTGCTCGGCAAGGCGACAAGAGGAGTGATGGACGCACCTTCTTTCGATCGGTATTCTCAGCCGTTTCCCAAGTCCGCCCGTCCCCAGATGCTTTTCTGATACGAATCCTGATCCTACTGGTCCTTCACGCATGAGAGGGTCGAGAGAGGGGTTGGGGGTGGCAGGGGGAAAGTTTAACATTCTGGCGGGCAGTACCATTAGCGTAGGGACACATGGGAGGCAGCGTGGCTGGGGTAAGGAGGGATGGACGTACGGGGCGGGGGGTATTCTTAGTATCTCTTCAAGCTCGCCATTCAGCTTGGGTCTTGGGAAGGAGATGAGCTCCTATGAGGACCGTCAGCTCGACTTTTCTACAGCTCACGACGGTCCACGGATTGACACTTGTCCCCCCGGAAGACACTCACCTCGAAACTCTGCGCATACCACTCCTTGACAGTATTGATACTCGGCACATGGCTAAGACCATCCGGCAGACCTTCAAGCTCCACGACCCGATGTGATAGGCGGATGGGTAGTTCTTCGGAGAGGAATTGGGAGGCTTTGAGGAGCGTCCCTTGCGAGGGATTTTGGCCAAAGAGGATCATTTGTTGGAGGGACACTACACACCATATCAGCGCGCTCCGAGGCATCTACTGGAATGATACGCACCACCAGCCTGGGGGAATGACGCAAAGTGATATATCTTGTCCCATAAGGCCGGTGAAATCTTGAACTTGGCCATGGCGGGCGGATGAGGAGGATGGGCGGGGTCGGGGAAAAGAAGGAAGAGGCAGAGGTGTGGTGTAGGTGTGTTTCGGGGTGCGAGGGGGCAGGCGATACGATTTTCAGCTTTGGGATGGATCTGCGAGACGAGATGCAAACGATCTTTGGCGGTGACTTCCCGACTCGTTGCGGAGATCGATCTCCGCGCGGCATCAAATCGAATCAGTTGCCGCCGTTCTACATCTCATCCCCGCATCCATCTATATCCTCCTACACCACCATTGCCCTCGCCCCTCGCATCTAGCCCCTCCCCGGCTCCCCCTCCCTCCCCTCTCTCCCCCTCCCTCCTCTCCTCCTTGTTCCCGCCTCTCCCCCTCCCCCCACTGCAGTTTTGCAGGTATGTCAGACCATCATCCGTCTTAGAAGTATGCTAAATGCCCCAGCCCCCACCTAGGACCTTTGGACCAGTGCCGACTGTACAGCCCTCCTCTCCTCCCCGCGCCCTCCTCCGCCTCTCTTCCGCGCCCTCCTCCGCGCGCCCCTCTCCCCCCTCCCTCTGGTAAGTAAGTTTTGTCTCCTCTACCTCCCTCTTTTGCTAACCTCGACGGCAGAATTCTTGTCCTTTCATACAATCATCTTTTCTTTTCCATTTCCTCATCACACATTATGATGGACGAACTCCAAGATTTCATTGACATCTACGAGAGCCAACCCGCCCCAAGGTCTTCCGCTCCGTGAGTCGCACCGCCCTCTGTGCTGCAACGATGCGCTTCCTTGCTGACTTCCTTCACCCCCAGCTCCCAGCCCGCGTCACCCCGTCGTGGCCAGGAGACAGCTACCCATACACTTTTTTTTTGTGCTCTACCACCCCTACCACGCCGTCCACGCCAAATCAGTCCCCGGCCGCTGCGGCCTGTGCAACAACGCGTACAAGGACCTCCGCGACCATTGCAAAAAGAAGCACCCGACGCACTGGTTCACCCCCC